AAATCTAACGAGATCCAGCGAAAGTAGATCCACTTTGTCCACTCCGTGAGGCAGAAATCTTGTTGAAAGATCACAGCAAAAAAAAAATTTTAATTCAATACATCTAAGCAGAATCAAGCAAAATCGAGCAATATCCGCTATGTTAAAACAAAGAGTGGAATTGCAATGAATTTATTTCCCCGGAAGCAAACGTGATAGAAGGAATTCGCGCGATGGATGCCACTAGGTTCGAACACCGAGAGGAATATGGCGGACATCATGCGAATGAGGCACGATTAATTGTTTGTACAAAGCCGATCCCGGTTATAAATAAACATCCCGCGGTTGAGTAGAGTCACGTGCTGCGAGGAATGTACAGACTCGTTGCTCAATGGCGAAGATACAAGGGAGGCATTGAACCGCGACTAGAAATCCAAGAGCAGAGTAACAAATGGCGACGCGGCGTAAAGGAAACGAGGAGGAAGAGGAAGAAGAAAAAAGAAAGCTCTCTCTCCAGAAGACTTCGCATATTTTCAGGTCAGACTCGCGGAATCGGCGCCACCCGGGCCGCCACTCTTAATAAAGCGATACGCGATGGCCAATTACCATTAACCGTGGCAAGCTGTCCTCTTTTTCGGCGACGTCAAAGTCAAAATGGCCGACATCTCGCTAATTGGACGCGATCAATTGCGCGACAGGCCGGTGTCGAGTTCCGTGTAAGTGTACACGGCTCACGGGAAATAAGATCCTTTCTTTTAGCTCTGATGTAACACGCGCAGAGTAATGGTAATCTAATAGAGAGCCGGTGAAAATTAACCAATGCAATGGTCGGCGTCGAAAAGGTAAAGCGAAAGATAACCAAGATGGCGGCTTCGTCTTTTCGGCGCCCAATCTTTTTTCACGGGATCCCAACGGTGACCTAGGGTCGCCTAACGTACCGCGATGCTTTCCTGCTACCTTTTCCTTTTTACAAGGTGAAAATATATCCTCACCCGGACCTTCCGCTGCGAATCAGCCTTAACGATCCGGGGCGCTCAATTGAATATTACCGGGGCCCTCGGTCGAGCACTTCGCACGCACTTTCGAGCCCGATTTCCCACGTGAGTGTCTCCCCTGCATCTCTCCTTTCTCGTCCCGGTAATCTCGCAAACTCATTTCACTCGGTTGACAGAAGTCGTTGGCCTACAACGCGGAGGAAATCATCCTCTCGCGAAAGTGGCCCGCTCGACATTTTTTTTTCTTCCTTCTTCCCTTCCACTAAACGTATTAATGCCCACCGTGCACGCACGTTGATATTTTAAAACGCATCTCCGAGACCGGTCTTAAGGTTATCCTTTGCAAAAATCCCGGGTATAAGGTATATAATCATATTTTCTAAGCGATGCGAGATGTAGAGCTCTTAGTCGTGGTCAAGCGTGTCGCCTTAGAATCGGTCCTCGATCTCAAAATTAACTTTTCAGACCGCCGGTGAAATAAATTACACGTCTAGTTACCCACACGCGAGTCGCCATAGGAAATTTGTCCTCATCCGGCTCGATTTACGCGGTCATAGGTGCGGTCGTGTGGATATATCGAGGATCGATCGGTGCCACCGAAATTAATTCTCAATCCTCCTCGTATTAACGGCGAGTCAAGAAATTCGTCATTTCATCAGAGAGGGAAGAAGAGGAGAAAAAAAAGAGAGAAATCATTTTCCCGCTGCCCAAGGAGCTCGAAAAAAATTTCTGCCGATCGGGCTCGATTTACGAGGTCGTAGGTGCGGTCATGGGTGGGTGTATCTGTTCTAGAATCGATCGCTGACCCTAAAATTAGAGTTCCTTCGGGCGCGTCCGAAGTGCCAGCGCGGACGGAGGCACTATTTCCAAGCATCCATCGCGAGTAACTCAGGATTAAGCCTCATCCCCATTGACGACGGCCGGAAAAAGCCGGGAGACTAATACAACGAAAAAGAGAAAAAAAAAATAGCATCCGAGCCCCCACCGGGTCACCAATTATTTTTAACCCCATCTCCCCCGGTCCCTCGAAAGAAAAAAAAAATGTACGACATAGCATTCCTCCAAGAAATCCCTATGATACTAAAAATGAAAAGGAAACAGAAAATACCCTCGCGACGCACGCGCAGGAAAATTCACATGAAACTACGAGACGCGGTGAAACTTTACACGACTACCTTGGGTCGCGGTCGAATCGCGGTTTTGCAATTATGGGGGAAAAAAAAAAAGATGGAGGCGAACAGAAAAAAAAAAAGAAAATACAAAATAATTCCGCGCAAAGAGGGGCTCGATCGGGCGGCGCGCGGATTCAAGTGAGCCGTAACTCTCGTTTACATTTAATGGGCGCCTAAAAAGGGCGATATTAATTAGAGACTCATGTCGGGCTCGGAACGGCGAGAAAACTCGGGAGGGGGGGGGGGGGGTGACGATTTCGATATCGCTCATGTGGAAGGGGGCCTTAAATGTCGACGCTTCGGTCGCCGCTTATGAATTGGCTTTCAGAGTGGCGGGCACCGCCTCGGCCAATTATCCCGTAAATCATGCGGCACAAGGCGCATCCGCAACATCCGCGTGCGCGCGCACGTACGGTGCCCTGCGAAGTTAGCCGCGAGAGGACGCGCCTCGAGGTGCGCCGATCGCGATGCGCGGTGGAATCGGTCTCGGTACACGCGACTCGGGGTGAACAACGGAAGGGTCGACGTCCATTGTTTTCCTCGAACGTCGAGCCTTTCAACCCCTTCGTTTCTGGAACGACGACCGTGTAAAACTCGCCCCCTGGGGTCGGGACAATTCCTTTCCCGAGAACGGGGGAAAAATGGCCGAGTGCCAAACTCGGAAAACCTCCCCTAAAACCGGGCCCTCAAAATTCGCAACTTCGATAATTCCCCTTAAGGAATTTGTTCATATAATCCCACCGCCATCTTCGCCTGGAATTTAAAGAACGTGAAAAACCCCCGTACCATCCGGCATATACTAATTCTCCAATTTTTCTCCCTCCCCCGAGACGCGCCAATAGTGACATCAACCGTCCTAGGGACTTTCCGTGATTCGCAAAGTTCCTAAGAACCAGGGAGACTTGCCAACTCGCAACCTCTCCTGATTAATCATATCAGTGGAAAGGGGCCAAAGCTAACGGAGACGCTCGATAGTGCCGAAAACGAGCGAGCTGAATTAATGGAATCATGTATGTTGTCAAATGGGGTGGAACCGCCATAAATCCTCCCTCCTCCCTCCTCACCCGGAAAATTGCAATCCATTTTGCCGCCCGATATTTCTAAGTCGCCCCCTTTAAACGTTTCCACGTATCGCGTACATATTTCCATCCCGAGTGAAATGTAACAAACGAAATGGGAAAAAATTTTCCCGATCGATTCAACCCCCCTCGGCGTCGATTTCCAGGGAAAATCGTTCGCTTTTCTCCCCGGCGGAGGATTGCGCCGACTCGTTGCGCGTACATCGAGGTAAACGCATCGCCACATGCGATAGTAGATATCGCGCCGACAATGGCTCGAAAAAAATCCAGGAGGAAGTTGCCTTTCCTCCTGCGAAGTTTCCCCTTGGCGAGTTTTCCGCCCCCCTTCCACCGGGCGTACCGAGAAATTACATAAATGATAATTAACCCGTGTCGTACAGGCCGTGTACTCCGTCGACTTGCATAATCGTTAAAAACAAAGTTCGCCCATTCTTCATTCACAAAGGCCTAATCAGAGAGAGAGAGAGAGAGAGGAAAAAAGTGCATCGCAGCAATCACTGATAAGCGTTGACGCCGACCCTTGACACGTTAAACAGCGCCAACCTCCTTCTCAGTTAACTAATCTCGGATTAATATTTGATATGACTTTAGATTATTAATAAAAAAAAAAAAAAAGAAATTAGAAACGTTTAATTTCCTGGGTGGGATTTCGCCGACCATGTAAGGAGCATTATCACCTGTTTGGGGAGGAACGAGTAAAAAAGCGGAAGTCGAGGGTGGGCATTATCGCCGATCCCCGCGTCGACATCCGGTCGTCGTTCCACGCCGTGAGAAAGAAATTCAGGGCCTCGACATGTCGGCTGGGCCGATTAACCATGATTTTCGTCGGTCGGTAGAGTATATAGTTAAGCGCAATGACACGCGCGTGTATTATACACGAGAACAATTTCGGGCCCCCGGGTCAATTATTAAGGGAGGGTCCGAAGCGAACTTCCGGTTGTCTCGAAGCGCGAGCCACCGGCCCATAAACATGTATTTCTAGTGACGGGGTGATGCTTTTTTCCCGAAGAGCATTTTCCGCACGTTAATCCGAGCGGGAATGAATTTCCCATGCAAACGTTCGGGTGGAATTAAGGCGAGTTTCGACCGCGACGGACGGCCGTCGTTTCATGGATTCCCTTTTATGTCTTTCCAGTAATTTCGAGGTAATTGTACGCGCCAAGGAATGTAAAAGCGGATTATTAACGCCGGTTAAGGGGAGCCCTGTCCTACCGGCGGCACTAAGCCACCTCTTATTAAGCTCTTTACAACGCGCACTAATCCCGTAACGTCCTAACCTGTCCAAAGCAAGAAGCGGAGCCAACCCAAACTACCTGACCATCGAGTCTTAATCCGGGCAATTCTCCTTAATAAAAAAAAAAAAAAAACAGCCAATTCGCGACACCCCCATTTTTTCCTGCCCCTCCTCCCCAATTACCGCCCAATAACCTAACATCGCGAAAAGAGAAAATGAATAAACAATGAAAATTCCAGACTCTCGTCCATCCTCCAAACCCTTGGCAAAGGATTAATAAATCCGGGAGGTCGAAAAAATACCTAATCCTTTGTCTTCGCCATATCCCTTACTCTAGACCGTATACACCCTGAGACTAAATACGTTGATATCACCGGCAGTGTTATCAGGTCTTATCGAGCCGGTCGGGGGGCGAGATAGATAAAAGGTAAACCCGTCCGCCTTAAAAGTTACGGAGTACCTCGCTTATCGATAACTCCTGTTATGCATACATCCCTGCCTCGCATAATAAATCGGATAACAATTGATAAAATTCACTCACTTTACGAAGTTTATCCAGCTCGTCCGATTCGACGTTCCCGGCAGAGCGAGTCTGGAAAGGAAAACACCAGGTTTAGGTAAACGATTTTTCATCCAGGTCTTTTCCTATTTTTTTTTTTTCCTTCCCTCGAGATGCACTTCTCGGTTTCGAAAGCCGCAGCGGGCAAGACCATCGCCCGATCTCGGTACATTGTATTTAAATCCCCATGCAGTTGCAAAACCGAGCGAGTCGGGTATACGGGGCCATTAATAACGCTCCCAGGATGGTTACAGGACCGGTTTAGGATTCGTAAATACCCCGGCCGTGTATACGGCTCCTGCGAGCATTTGTCCTTCTGGGATCTTTATTGCGAACATCTGGAGCGACCTTTCGTGGCCGGTTCTTTTGTAAAAGGAGCCATCGGACGTCCTTTCTACGTACGCGGACGCGTTTTCTCTTTCTCTCTTTCCTTCGGTCCAGCGGCCCGAAATAAACGCGGATCAAAACGATCGCTTAATAAGGCGCCACCCGAAACCCCGTAAAACGAGATCGCGCATGGACCGTCCGCCATTTTGTATTTTAATCTCACCTCGAATTAAATCGAATTAAACCTTCCCACCACGTGGCTCGGTCTGACGCATCTTTCAAAATAATATGTAATGTATAATCTCAATATATCTCGAATCGAAAGGGTTATGTATCGTCCGCGGTTTCGCGCGAGTAAGTGATAATTTATATTTCCTGGTAATCGAAATAAATCCTCGCAACGCATCTCGTGATTCTCCTTCTCACGGCTTATCAACAAGGAGAGGTTCGCAGGCGAGCGGTGTTTACCAACTAGGCATGAAAAACAATTACCTCGTTGACCTTCCAGAGATTATGGCAATCGCCGGTTAGGGATCCGAAATTCACGAGGGAGCAGAAATTGTTGTTCCTGTTGTCGGCGGCGACGATGCTCTCGGGCTCCTCGGCGATGGCGTTGTCGAGGAAGCCGATGTCGAGGGACTTGGTGTCGCGGCAGTTGGTGACGAACGATCGGGCGAAGGAGCTCTTGAAAAAGTGTCCTGGCGAGACCTCGCTGCCCAAGGCGAACTCCACTTTCGGCCCGTCCGCCATCTTGCTTTTCGATTTCTCGCCGGCTACGCGAAAAGTCCCGCCTCGACGAGAGCTCCCTTCAAAGGAGCGGTCATTTCACGTCACGAGCACTTTTTCTCGAATGATCTCGGTTTCCCGGGGGAATTTAACCTTACTTACAGTCCGTAGAAGGTTTGGGACACGGAGAGGGAAAAACGTCGGAGAGGTTATCCGGTTGTCCCACTCGGGCGGGAGTGGTCGAGGTTTTGGGGCACTTGGAGGGTGAAGAGGTTAGTTTCCGAGTGAACCTCGAGTCCTTTGAGTCTGTCGACCGGACTGCGAAGACTCCTCTCCACTTTGCGCGCCGGCTCGCGTCAGACTGAACCGTAACGCGCGCGTCGCGCTCGCCGCACCACCGGTCGACGCTTCGCGCATGCGCGGGTCACGTGGTGGTGGGGCGCAACGTTTGAACTCGACGGAAAAGTGGGGAGAAGGTAACGGTGGTATCGAATTCAATGAAAGGGAGGTTTTACGACGCATAGAAATGCGTAAACGGAGGGGAATTCTCTGAAAGTCACTCGGATTGGGTCTTTGGTTCCTAGCTTGGTTAATTTTTACTGAAATTAAAGGTTACGAATCTCTTCAATTCTCGCTTCTCCGGAGGTGACCACGCGCCGATGGCGCCTTCTGTTGAACAAGTAGCGAACTAATGCGACGCCTTGCCTTGAGAAAATTAAAAAATCTTCGATTGTTCTTGCAGTTACCTAATAAAAAATTTTAAAAATAGCAGAAATCATAGAAGAATGGCTGAAGGTGAAAACCGAACTCTGCATTGTTACTTTAGGAAAGAAATATCTTAGGATGAATAACTCAAACTGGGGGAAGAAAGTCAAGCCGAGTTGGTATGGACTCTTGAATGGAAGTCGGCTTTCCCCGCGACGAAATTTCCATTAATGCCGACAAAAGGTTTTATGACACCGCGTCATAGGCTACGGACGAAAGCTTCGTCCTTTATTAACGTATTGTTAGGCCGAGTCAGCCTTTAGGTTGCACCGGTTTCGGGTGACCTGCCATTTTGTGTAGGGCGCGATGGGTTTAAACCCGGATTAACTGCACAGGCCTCGCGATTATAGGAATTATGTTTTCCCTTTTTCGCCGATTTCCTTGCTCTGCCTGCCGAACATTTTCTTCTTCTCCTCGTGAGAAATCCACTCTCCCGCGAGGAACCCTTTCGCAAGGTGTAAGAATCGTCCGTGCCGTGCGAAACGTCGAAACCAGACAATAGACGAAATTATGCCAAGTTAAACAAAAGCATCCGCCTGTGAGAACAAATCGTCGCAGTTTGAGATTTCATTCGATACAAAGTGCGGTGACTCGTCCCCGTATAATATATTCCACCGTTTTTAAAAAAAAAGAAGGAATTTGCATTCTGCAGGAAATTCTGCACTCGGGAAAAATAATCATATGCGATAATAAATGTTTCGGCAATAGTTGGAAAATAATTCGGGAGGTAGACTCGCCACCGGTACAGTTGGAATATTACAAATGGCCATTGACAAAAGTGTCTAAAGGAGTCATTTACCTAGTAGGGTCTTGTTCGCTCGTCGATTATTGCTCTCAGCCCGTAAACCCGGGATTAGCCAGTTTCCCTTTACCCGTTTATGGCCCCGCCAACAATGGCGTTTCCGGGGGCCTCCTGAGAAGGTAGTTTAACAGAACACTCGGGAATTAGGGTATTAACTGCGATAAATAGCTCTGCACCGGCCGCTCGGACTAATTTTAACGTCTAATATCCTTAAGAATGACCTGCTCCTTTGTAATCCAGGACCCTAGAAGGTACCATTGCGCTCATAAACCGCAGCTTAAGGAAAAGTCCGTCTCGTAAATTAAGTCAACCCTGGAAAACGAAATTATCCAGCAGGGATTTCCAGTTTCATTCAATTAACAACCCGCCGAATGTACCTGTCGACAAATAAAAGAATTATTCCCAGCCAAATAATCGTTAATAAATGCACCTTTATTCATGTAAACTCCGTAGTAACTTCACGTATTCATAAATTAACATCAAACAATTTTTACACTTAACTCTACCTTTATACACGTAATGAGGTAGCGCAACAAGTAACTGTATACCGTTACCAATATAGTACATAGATATTTAACGAGTTCCCTTTCTCTGGAATATGTGAGGAATAAATTTTGGAAAACCTCATGCCTTCGTTTTGTGATATTTAAGATACACGGCTCTCGGAAATACGAATAATGTCGGTGACCAACGGAACGGTAAAAATAGGCTGTAAAAATAACTGGGACCGTGACGCAGAAAATCCATATTCTCATATCACGTATTACGTTAATGCTAAGCACCCTGGCAATTCGTTACAGCTGATTCTTTACTGTACAAAGAACCGTTTTTTTTCTTTTTAGAATTTTCTTCGTCGTTAAAACCCTCTTATCAAATTAATTCGACGTATCAGAATTTCTTTCTGGCGTCCGGAAGGGAGACCGGAACTCTTGGTTGACCTTCTTAGAGCTATTTTTAATAACAATTGGCGATAATTCCGGGGGTTCTCCATATCGCTGGAGCTTCTCCATACGTTTTTGGACGGATGGTCTAAGGGAGTCGTTTGGCGAAATTAAATCGATAGGACTTTTCCCTGATACATTTGGCGTATTCACTGTTACATAAGGACTGATAAACGAAGGACTGTCCAAAGATTTTCCAGGAGTTCCTTGGCTGGTTTTCGCAGATCTCTTAACAATTTCCGCTGCAATCTCGTCCGCACTTTGAGCAGCGTAAGACACGGGATCCTGTTAAAATTATAAAATATAAACTAATAACTCCATGTCGTAGCAAGCATTTAACTCTTCTTTCTTTCTCCTCTGTATATGTAAAGATTCACCGCCTTCTTCTTGAATTACTTTATTTTCCCATGCTCATAAAGTTTCACCACCGCAGTGAAGATGATCCGTTGATAATGTTAATTGGCGAATTAGTGACGAAATGAAAAGACAATAATGCTTCCCAGGACCGTCGTTAGATTATTTTCCCAACATTACAGCCGTAACGAGGCTCGGACAATAATTCTTTATCAAAAGTAAAGAGTCTTGCGACAGAGGGATAATATCACGAATAATTTTACACACTTGACGATAAAATAAACAAATTCGACCAACCTTGACTCGTAAGCTAAAGCTGTACAAAACGTGTCGAAGATGACTTTGTCGAGGATTTCGAGTAATTACGGTACGTTCTGTACAATAAGCCATGGGAATGCCCCAAGACGTGGATTGTCGGCGCCATTCGAGATTGCTGCAAGAAACAATCGATCCTGCCACAAGGATGTCGGTATAGTCATAGGAAGCTATTCCTTGCCAGAAAAGTACCGATAAAAAGGCCGAAGATCCGTCGTCGTCAAGATATGCAAGATTGGCGATTTCAAAATTTCTCATGCCCTTAGAAAAGAAAAAAAAAAAATTGCAAATAAACATGTACAAGGTATTCAAATAATTCCATAATTTTTGCAGAATGAGGAATGCACTCTGCATTCGTTTTTCCTATTTATTTTTCTAGAACTCACGTGGGGAGCGGCACCGGTCGAGGAAACAATTCCAACTGTGTCGAATTCTCCAAAAGCAGGATTAAATCCAAGCATACCGATATCTTTTAACGGAGTGAAAGTCCTTATCGGATAGGAAACGCCTTGAGAGGATTCGCGATTAAATATCGCCTGACGACCCGCGCTAAGTTGCAATTCTCCGGCTCTGAAATTGTTTATATTTGACATCATAAGATATTCAGATTTTTCGCCTTCGGCTTGATAAAAATATTGAGAACACTCGCGATTTTATCGCGTGTTTACGAAAGCCAGGAATGGCTGTTTAAGGAATTTAAGAGTTATTTGAATTTCAGTCACAGCGTAAAGTCGAGATTAGATATCAGGGCACAATGAGACTTAGTCATGTGAGATCGCCGGCTTTTAGAGAAGGGATTTATAGCCCCGGAGGAATTACTTAGCTTTCGAGCCACCTTAAATGACTCACTTCTATTCAGAGACCTTTCGGAGTGAGGAACATTGGGACATTGATCATACTCACCGTTTCGATCAGCCTTCATCAATGGAAGAGTAATAAAATAATGGAACCAGAGTTAATAATACACTCACCGCTTTCCAGAGGCAGTTAAATTGTGCACCGAGATTCGATTTCCCTCCTGGACGATGTCTTCGACTTCTTCGTTGGAAGACCAAATCGTCAAAATCGCAGTCTTACCGTCAGCAAATACGCGAATTTTGAGAACGGGGGAAACTTGTCTAGGTGGAGGAAGATCCTGCTTCATTTTCGACTCCAAGTTGTACTTGAACTTTTCTTCTTCGATCCTTTGAAGCTCCAGGATTTTTTTTCTTTGACTGGCGGTAAGATTCTCCTAAAACAGGTCGGCGAAATGTCCTCAAAAACGCCCCAATTTTTTACTCCACGTCCCTCTTTCTGATATTTCCTTGTCAATACCTCGTTAGAGAAATCGTGCGACTTTCGTCCACGTCGATCGACAAGTTCCGTACTATCCTCCTCAGAGGAATTGGGTTTTTTGTAAGCTCCCATTTCCTTCTCGGCTTGATTGTATATCAACTCCGCTTTTGTCTGGCACTCCCTTTCGTACGCAATGGCGGCCTTTTCTTCGCTCTTAGCGTTCCGAAATACTGAATTAAATAATAAATATAGTTACTCTTTCTACACACGAAGTAATCGGTCCTTGATTTTTTAATTGAACTTACTGTTGCGTCCATCCGCCAGTCTCTCTTTATACAAGACGGGGTACTTCCTGGCAACGATAAAGAATATTTTGCAAATCGCTCCACCGATAGGATCGACGTCTTTCAAAGCAATTGGAATTGGTCTTGGACAAGTCTGGTACCCCAACTTCGCGAACCACCTCGCCCGGCGAGTGGAATTCGTGTGGATTTTCAATTGCACGTCGCCAGGGATCTGGTTAAATATTTTCCAAAATTAAATTCCCGCAAGTAACAAAATCTTAAAATTGAACAATTTTCTAGAAGCTCACTTCTAGCGGAAAACAGCCCTGATCGCAGTTTAGCAGTTCAGCCCCGCAAGTGACGATTTTCGTGCCTTCTTGGACTCTTCCTCTAGAGATATGACTTGACATAGCAATGTCAATGGATGCTGGGATACTGTACCAGCCATCTGTCAATTCAACTTTCCACTTCCACGATGACATTACGTTCAGATTCTTTTCTTTATCCCTACTGTATGTTAACTATTAAAAAGAAAAGGAAAATGTATAAGGCGAAAAATACATGTTTTCAATTTTTTAAATCTCTTCTCGGTTACCTCGGATATATTTGCCACGCAAAGGACCATTCTCCTGTTTGGAGGATCGTCCTTTTCAAGTATCCTTCTAAGAGCCGGCCTCTGGGCTCCGTCGACTTCTCGATCGTATCGGTATTTTAATTCCGCCATTACGCGATCAGGCGTCAGCATTCTGTCGAAATTTCGATCGAAGATATAAAACACTAATTTTTAGGATTCCATCTTGGCGAAATAATCTCTCTATTTTTTTTTAATGCTCTATTTATTATTTTACTTCTTGAGATTCTAAGCCAAGCATAGTACCTTGTCGTTCGGACTTTACCGAGTTTCGTCCGGTCCATGGATGCTAATTTCCAGACGATCCATCTATAGTGATTTTCAATCCATCCCGGGGGAATTAAAGCCGGATCCACATTGGGACTTGCCAGGAAGGACCTGGCAAATTCGGAAACCCCAGCGCGATCCTTTTCGTCCAAAATTAAGCGACCACCGTCCGGCATTTTAATGCCATAGACGTTCCCTCGGACGACCCCATCGCTGGTTGAATATATTTTTATCAAACGTACAAACCAGTCCCAGATGAAACGATTGCAATAAATAAAGTGCATGCCTCACCCGTAAAACTCGGTACAGCGAAATTTGAAGGAGCCTGCAGTGGTTGACGTTATCCTCAAAACTTCGTTACCGACTTGTCGATCCTTGAGCTACATTTTCGATAAAAAACCGAATTAACCGTATAAGTAGCACGATATTTTATAAAATAACTTTCTTCTCAATTGTCAATATTACCTCTTGGAGAGTACAAATTTCGGGCGCAAATCCCGCGGCGAATTTTCTCAGGGATATTCGATTTTGAAAATGTGACTCTCTGGTTCGCAACAGAATGCCTTTCAGCGGTTTTGGCTTGATCGTCTTTTTCCTGCGGATTTCTTCCTCCTGATACCCAAATTATTTAATACACACAAGTGTTTTCTAATAATGTAGCGTGATAAAAAAAAATACAAACAAAATCGGAAGGGAAGTTAATCTTGAGAAAGGGAAAAATTGAAGGCCATTCACCTGCTCCGCTGCAGCGGCCAGTCGCTTTTCCACATTGTTCACCAGCTCTTCTATCTTCCTCGCTTCCATGGTCTGAGAGTCATCCAGAATGTTTTCCGAAAACAGCACACTAAAGCCATCGTCCAAAATCGATTTGGGATCCTCAGAGACTGAACTCGTTGATTTCAAGGCACTGTTTCTTTCGCCAGCTCGAAGACTGGAGTCCCCCGAAATCGGTGTCCTTTTATCAGGGACTAAAAAATTCTTAACGGCGTCGCCCTTTCGCTTACTTATCAATTTATTACTATTCCTCGTTCGCGAGGGGAATTTATTTCGAGTTCGCAGGACAGGACTCGGTGGCGTTTCGGTTTCTGCTCCGGCGTTTCCTTCTCCGGGAAGTTTGTAATTATTTTCAGCCGTTTCCACGTCTTCGTCGTTGATTTTCTGAAATCTCGCGGACCAGGAATCATTCGACATTTCTTCGTCTTCAAGAAGAGCAGCCGTACTGGCGACGATTTCTTCGGATGTTGAAATTTCCGCTGGAACGTCTACCGAGCGTTTTTGAAGATTCTTCTCGTTCTCGATTTTCCGCTCATCGTCGCTGTCGGTATTTTCGAAGAACAACTTTTTGGCCTGAAGATCGTTATTCACTCGAGCCTTTTTGCACTTTGAGGGAAACCTGCTGCAAGGAGTGTCATCGTCGATCTCCTCGACTTTCCTTTTCATCACTGGTTTGAAACCTGAAGAACATTTCTGATTTCCGAATTTTGGAGTAATCTTCGAAGAAACCTTGGCTCGAGTTGGATCGAAAGTATTCGGGGTTTCTTCCTTTCCGTTTGATGATAAAACACTAATCTTCGGAGAAATCTCGTCCGACCTCGATAATCCGGATGGATGTTTTGACTTTTGATCGATAGTTTCGCAATTAATTTGAACAGCTGATTCCTCCGATTGTTCGGAGAAGAGTGCCTTTGCTTTGAGCAAGGCTTCTTTTGAGACACCTACCGATTTTCCACTAGCCGTGTAAAATCCAGAAGATGGGAAAATATCCTTATTTGATTCCTTAGAAGACGTAGATGCAGCTGACTTTTTTGAAGGCGAATCATTATTGGCAATCTCGAAATCATCTAGCGGATCGGCAAATAATGTCTTCGCTTTTGACAGAGCTTCTTTGGAAATATTTACAGGTTTTCCACTAGCGGTAGAAAATCCGACAGATGGGAAATTACCCTTTTTATTTGATTCCTTAAAAGACGTAGATGTATCTGTCTTTTTTGAAGGCGAATCATTATTGGCAATCTGAAAATCATCTAGCGGATCAGCAAATAATGTCTTCGCTTTTGACAGAGCTTCTTTGGAAATATTTACAGGTTTTCCACTAGCGGTAGAAAATCCGACAGATGGGAAATTATCCTTTTTATTTGATTCCTTAAAAGACGTAAATGTATCTGTCTTTTTCGAAGGCGAATCATTACTGGCAATCTCAAAATCATCTAGCGGATCGGCAAATAATGTCTTCGCTTTTGACAGAGCTTCTTTGGAAATATTTACAGGTTTTCCACTAGCGGTAGAAAATCCAGAATATGGGAAAATATCATTTTTATTTGATTCCTTAAAAGACGTAGATGTATCTGTCTTTTTTGAAGGCGAATCATTATTGACAATTTCAAAATCATCTAACGGATCGGCAATTAATGTCTTCGCTTTTAACAGAGCTTCTTTGGATATATTTACAGGCTTCCCACTGGCAGTAAAAAATTCAGACGATGATAAAACATTTTCTTTATTTGAATCTTTATAAGACGTTGATGGGTTCGATTTTCTTAACGGCGAGTCATTATTAGCAATATCGAAATCATTAATCTGATCAACGAATAATTTCTCTGCTTTTGCCAGGGCATCTTTGGAAATATTTACTGGCTTCCCACTAGCAGTAGTAAATCCAAACCTCAGCCCTGTTTCTTTAGCTTCTAAATTTCTAAAGGGAGTAGAAAAATTATTTGTTTCGTGTGTTTTATTTGTAATACCGGGATCTTCGACCTGATTTGTTACTAATTTTTCTGCCGAGGGACGTTCTTCAATAGCGGTCGAAAATTCATGAAAAGCATTTTTCCCCTTTTCTTGAACATTTTCACAAGTCAATAATTTTTTCTCTAGTACCTTGGAATTTTTATGCAGCATCAATTGATGTTTTACTGCATAAAATGCGCTTTTGTCTATTTCTTCTTGAGAGAATCCACAAAAACCTTCCATTGAAGTCTGCAAATTATTTTCCCCAACAAATGAATTGCAAGCTGCATTAAGTAAGGCACTTTCATTCAAACGATTTGTACAATTTAATGACGCTATTGTTTCATTACAATTTCTCTTTCTTGACGAATTTCTGAGATTGTATTTTCTAATGCTATTTTTTGAACTGCTTTTTATCAGAGGCCAGCTGGTTATTCTGTGCAAATGTGCACTCGAACTTGGTGAATTTTTTTTCTCTCCTGCACTCGTCAAATCGCGTTTTTCAGTGACAATAGAAGGCACCGATCGAGACTTTTTGATAATAATTTCAGATGAATTTCTAATGTCACACTCTGAAGGAATTTGATGTTCTTCAATAGCTTCCGTTGACTTGAATTTCTGCCACAGGATTATTTTCATCTTTTCTGCAAACGTTGAGCTCGTCTCGAGATCTTTATAAGAAAATCCGTGAAAAAGCTGTGATGATTGCAAAATCACTTCTTCGTTTCCAGCGAAAACATCATCGTGAAGCTCCTTTCCCGACAGTTGATCGATTGATGTTCTTCTACGTAAAGTAGAATCTTCTTCGCTTCCTGAATTGGATTTAATTTTCTTCACGGACTGCTCGATTGTCTCTGCTGCTCCCATCTCATTTTTCTCAGATTGTTCAGAACAGTTTTCAAATTTTCTTTTTAACGTTGATTCCGTTGCTAGACTCTGCTTATCCAAATTGGACTCTTTTTCAATACATTCTTCGCTAACTTCCTTGTACAATTTTTCAGCGGTTTGAAGAAGAGTTTCACTGACGAAAAGGTTTTTTCCACTTGCAGTTGAAAATCCACTCTGCATCTTCCCCACATTTTGCTGCTTATTGGAGTCAAGATTGTGAGCCACTTCGAAAGCATCTTTTGGCTTGTAAACCCACTGACTAAAGTCTTCGATATCTTCAGCTATCGCCATCACCATTTCACCTACGTTCACCATTTCTGAGTCTATACAATCATCCTTAAAAATATCTTCTACTTGTTCATTGTCTTCCTCAAGAGACAACGAAGCTGTTGTATTTTTTGATAATACCTCAGAAATACCTGAACTGTTCAAAGTATTTGAAAGATCACCCGGAGCAGGAGTTAGCCTATGCAAAGTACCTTGAGACACACGTCTCACATTAATTAATGCTTCGGTCTTCTCTGACATTTTACCTTTGGAACTGCACATTTGTTCACAAGAATTTATTCTCTCCTTAGTTTCCTCAGGACTTTTTACACTACTTGAATCACAGAGTTTTGAAAAAGACATAAAGTCTGACTGCTGATCTAACGAAAAAGACTTCCTCTTAACGGGTGCTGAAAAGCTTGCAGCTCTTTCTAACTCCATAACACCCCGAGTAAATTCTTCTACTGGAACGTTTGCACATACTATTTCAGATATTTTCCTCCTGTGTTTCTTAACATTTTTAATTTCTCTCACTCTTTCAGATAAACTTTTTTTATCATGTGTGGAAAGTGTGTTGAGAAGTTTGTCATTAGTCTTTCTCCCTAAATTTTCAATGTTTATTACAGTGTCCGAGTTTACTTTTCTTTCTCTACTATCGACGTCAGTAGTAATCTCATTAGTATAAAGTGAGGAATTCTTATCGATATTGGTAAGCGATACACTTTGAAAAAAGGCTTCAAAATCAGTAGCATTGCTAGATGAAGCTGCATGTGCAGTTTTACCTTTAATATGACCTAAATAATCTGGCGAATTTCTAAGGCATATTTCTGTGTCCAGTTTATTGCTTTCAGACTTAGCAGTATTTTCGTCTAGATTCACCCTGGTATTGATAAATTCAGTCTTATCCTCTCTGGCAATAACCAGATCTTCATTCCTACTTGGTTTAATATTTGCCCCTGAATCAGTGGAAATGTCAGTGCTACATTCACCAGTTTTAGGTGTACTAGTTAAATTTGTACCGGAAGGTGTTTTAAATATTCGACGTTTGGTACGACGTCGAACTCTAGTGGTATTAAATACCGGCGAAGTGGGCACTATCACGGGACTGACATTTTTAACAGATGATAAGGGAGTAGACGGCCTGATACAAGTTGTTTTTTCAGCCTATAATAAAATCAATCCAAAATAAAAAAAAACTTATCGGAGAACATATACTCTGCGCATAGTCAACTAATACTTACGCTACAAAACTAATTTTTAAAATTGACATTTACCTGTGGAGTTTCCAAATCACTTGTCCAGGACTCGTTAACCTTTGACAGAAAAGGCACTAAGCTTAACGGTACAGTCGGGATGCTTGCTCCGTCAGGTGTCCTATTAAAAGAATATCCAATTAAAAAATTATATAAATCGCCACGATTATCAAGAATCAAAGCAAAGTTGCTCTTACGTTTCTCGCAACTTAGAACATTGTACAGGTGTACGGAATGAATTTACTATCGTAGATTCATCATCGGTCGCTCCATAAATAATGGGACTACAGCGTGCATCACTTGCTGCATCAGCTTCATCTGCAATTAAAACATCATACTGTAGAATAGTGTAACTGCAAAACACAGAACGAAAAAATAAATATAACCTATACGAAATGCCTGTAAATAATCATTTCCGCCACAGAAATTTGAATCTTCTAGAGGGGTCGGACAAAGCAACGAGAAAAAGCATCAAGCGCTTAAATATTTTCAATCACCTGAAAATAACTCCTCAGAACTTTCTACGTAATTTGTGCAATCCTCTTCTTTGAGCTTATCCTCGCTTTCTCGGTCCGTCTTGTCGCGGTTCTTGAAATTTAAACTCCCCGACTCCGCATCTACACTCATTTTTATGTACACGTGACATTTATCTTGGCGAAAGTGGCTCATGTCTCCGAGATGAAACAGCTTCCCGTTTCGATCCACTTCGCCCTGACAGGCGCAAAAGCGTAATTCAAAATACCCGCCGATATCAAAATGCAGAAATTTCTGTAGAAGCTTAAATTTTATGTCGGCCCTTGAAGCTCACCATGGCCATAAAGAACATAAAGATGGCGTATTGATTACAGTGCCACTATGTATTAACTAACGTACTAATTTTATAGCGTCAAATATCCCTGTCTTTCTGCGCTTCTCTAGGAATTTTTTCATTCTGCGGAGTAACCTGAAAAGTGGCGTCGACTTAACTGACTTAACCTGTACTGCGTTTCCGAGTTTTCTAGAGGTTTCCTGAGTGAAATGCAACTGAAGATGAACACTGGGATAACGTGGACCCAGTTGGAATTGACTGGTCTTTTGGAGGACGAGGATTCAAAAGTATTTTTCGAAAGATCGAGACGACATCTCGGCCTGCATCCGTTTCATCTAACGGACATGAACGCGGCACTCAATGAAATTTTAAGCGGCACGCTTAACAATTACGATTCCGAGTAAGTTCAATGCGAAATTTTCTTTATTTTTATAGCTACATTTATAAGTATAACATTGTTATGTGATGGAAGCAGTTAAACATACAGGACGAGGTATATTTTTACCTGTATTAAAAATGAAATATTGTATTTTTAGGTTGAATGGAATTGTATTATCGTATAAAAATCCAAAACTACTTACACCTTTAGGGAATATATTGTACGATACATATTACATTCATGTCGACATCGTTGCTGATTTTTACGTTTTTAGACCAGAAATAGGGTGTTCGTTACGAGGTAATTTAATGTACTTAAAGATGTAGGAATTTTATTTAATGAGATTTCTGACTTTTAATACCTTTGACTTTTAAGGTTTTGTTAATAAAAAGAGCAATGGCCACGTAGGGATTTTAGTGCATAAGGCTTTTAACGTATCGGTTCCTAAGCCGGATAACGTGAAAGAGTGGCCTGGAGATAAAGTAATATCGGGCCAAGAAGTACGATTTACAGTAAAATTCTTGGATTTTGATGGCAGGATACCATACATTAGGGGTATCTTGGATCCTGTGTGAGTATTATTATTTCGTGATTAATAACGTGTATAAGATTGTTAAACTCAAATTGATAAATATTAAATTACTGCCTGATTTTTTAGACACTATCTAGATGGGTGCAAACTTTTTAACGCTGATTTTGATGAAGCATTAGATATGGAACCATATGTTGACTGTAAGTTTAATATCCGTGTGGTATATATTTTTGTAGTTACCGATGAATGGTCATTTACTATTTATTGGTATAATCTTTGTCTATTAATAGAATATAAGTATTATATGCAAATTAAATTTTATAGTTAACGAAAGAAATTATGAGGAAGAAGATCAAGTAACGGTGACCTCTAAAAAGAGATTAAAAAATTTTGACATAGGGTTAGAAATACATGAGCCTAAACAAAAAAAAAGCAAAGACAGACAAAAATTATCACGAAGTTATACAGATTTTATTAACGAGGATGATGACACTCCGAAGAAGAAGATAAAGAAATCTAAATTATCTAATTTAGATAACGATGAATTGATTGATGTGGATATTAAACCTAAGAAAACTAGTATATCCAACAAACGTAGTAACGTTACTACCGAAGATGGAGTTCCAAAGAAACGTGGGAGAAAGTCAAAAATGTCTTTTGTAGAAGATGAAGTCGCTTCATCTTATGACAACCTTGATGAGACAGGAGAAACGTTTGACAATAATATTTCTATTAAGAATGAGTCGATTAAAAAACGATCGAAAAGATCTGGACCGTTGGCATTGGAAAGTGATGACTCGAGTGATACAAGTATCATGTCTGAAAATACTGGAAATTCAAAAAGTGCGGGTAGTATTAAGAAAGAAAATGAACAGAAGGAATCCTTGAAGAAGTCCTCAAAGAAATCAAATATTGGTCAGTTAAGTACATCAGGTAATGCAAACGTCTCTGAAACTCCTACAAAGAGGCATTCTAGAAAGTCACATGAAAAGCGGGACAACTTGAGCAGTATAAATATTAAATCTGAAAAATCTATTTTATCAAACAGTAGTGACACTGAACAAGAAGAAAAAGAAATAATTTCAAAGAAACGTTTGAAAAGATCATTTGATGAATCGGATGGTATGACTAATATTAGCGTAAAGTGCGAAGATTCACCGAAAAAGCGTCACAAGAAGTCAGGCTTGATCGATGGAGAAACAATGCCTGAAAGTTCACCGAATGAGCATATTGTAAGGCCAGGCTGGCATGATGTATGTGAGAAGTATGAAGATGCACCAAAAAGACGATCTAAAAAATTGAATCATACTCACCCATCCATCTTGAGCGATGTGAAAATCAAGTCTGAAGATACTGTGACGGGCATCGGAAACTCTGATGACGACGAAGAAATGTCACTAAGATACATTCAAGCATGGAGTCAGAGCAGTAACAATGCAGCAGAAGACATCGAAGACACCGTTTCAAGGAAACGTTTCAAAAAAATTAAACCAGACACCTCGGACATAGAAGACATTTATGACATGAGAGTAAAACCTGAAAAGTGTACACCTCCGACTGAGACCACTACGACTGAGCAAGTAGAAATAAAATCTCCGAAGAAACATTCGAAGAAGTCTAAGCTATCGAATTCATCTTTTAACGATTCAATAGATATTGCAACCCAATCAGAACAAGAAGAATATCTAAAACCGGAGAAAAAAGTTCAATCAAGGTCGCCAAAGAAACACATAAAGGAATCTGACACACCGATCCAAGATATTGACGATCTTAGAAAAATAAAAATAAAATCTGAGAGGGAAGACAACTTCAACTACTTAAATCATTCAAAAGAAGAGAAGACTCAGAGGAAGTCACTGAAAAAGGAGCCAGAAATATACGAAACAGTGAATCTAATCGATGAAGACATTTTGAGTTTCAACGATAAGTCAGAGAGAGATGCTTCAAATTCCTTAAAAAAAACCATGACGAAGTCCAAATTAAGTTTGAAAAACGACATCGTAGTGCTTGACTCCGACTTAGAAGAGGAGAGCGTTCCAGACTTCGGACACCTTCGAAGACTCTTTTAATTTGACACGCTGGTGATCAGAAGTACGTATAATTACGTTTCTAATTGTTAACCAGTAAAACTACTTATAGGTGACCTAATCTATATTAATCATTGCTCTCTAACGATGCACTGTGGTTTTTTTCCAGAATTCTTATCGAAACATCATCGAGGAATTTCCTTCGTTTACGCATGAAAACCTTGCAATGAATAGTTGAATTAAAAATTCTTCATAAAGGGTATTCCCTCAAACTTGATTTAAGAACCACCAGGGAAGAGCATTCGACTGTTGGCTCGAAATTTGGAGATCTGCCGAGATGTACAGAGTATTTTCCCCTTTTTTAAGAATTGGACGAGAAATTCGCCTTCACTGAGACAATTGGACCCATTGAGAGATACCGAAGTTTTAGGGTAATTTTATAAGAACCTTGTAGCGACTTCCACATCTTGATAAGTGAATGTAAATATGTACAATACCGAGTTCCACAATGATAACAAACGATCTTTATTGAAACTTTAATAAAAGGTAACTCAGTAGTATTTATTTACATTGGCACATCGCACAGCAACGCGCCGTACATTCAAAACCCAACAAGACGATCGTGCACAGACTTTCGAATTTTTCGGCCAGAAATTGGACAACGACGACATCCTATCGATCTACTTACAACGTATCTTACATCTATTTTATACTTCATATATAAGTATTTACATTGGCATTCACGCGACTGTCATTCCTTGCTCGTTATCGAGTACAAGCAAGAAATCCAGCATTCATCAATTTTTTGGAAGGATTTTCTTTTGAGAAAAAATTTCTAAAAATTGGAGCACGGTTCGAAATATCTAATAACATAAATTCATGATATAGTACCTATTCCAATCGAAGGTTTCATGATGGTGTCATGTTTAATGCGAGTTGCAAAGGAAAAAAAAAGAGAATAAAAAACGATGATAGATCTATCTCTTAAGTGTCGTCTCTTCACGAGCAGAAGAGCAAAAATTCTAACATCGGTGCGTCCCTCTTTCCGTATTTACATGTCGTCACAATTATCACTGGGGTAAGGTCGCATGATATCGCACCTGCTCCTCTGTCATCTATCGACACAAAGAACATCAACTACGGAGATCGTGTGAATGAATCACTTATCACGTGCCAAAAGAGCGGCTCCAGCCTCGTGGCTCGCGAGGAAGCACGTTGATCTTCAAGCTAGGGCAAGGTACAGCGAGGATAGCTTGGCCTTCATAAAATAGAAGACCAGAAGTCCTTTAAGCGGTAGAATTCGTTTCCCCCAGGAAACTAGTCACTGCATATAAGAGCTCTCGAATTGTACAAGAGAAGTCATCCTGGACTCATCCACGTTCGCATTTCCAGGACCTTCCGGCGGGACAGGAGACAGAAATTCCAGAAGACGACCGCGAAGAGCATTCAAGGAAGAGGCCAAGGAAGCCCAGAGAAGTCCACGGGTCCTCCCAACCCGGCATCGGCTTCCAGGAGGTTCATGATGACCGCCATAGCTGCCTCGTCGTTCCCATCGGTGGGCATAGGGTTGGGCGACTCGTTTATGGCCGACCCGCTGATCATGTCCATCACGTCCTCTTCGGCTCCTGGAACGAGGAGGATGATAAGCCGTACGCCCTTGCGGTCTCCACATCCAACCTTTCCGACATGAGTCTTCTCGCGTCCCTTTCTTTTCCTAACTATTAAGGTACGGCGACTCGCGTTATCAGAGACAGTAATAGCTACGACCTTGGTCGTTCGTAACGCTGCCGAGCTGGATGTTGCTCCTGACCCGGTCGTACAACGGAGCCGTGTTGCTGCTGCTGTTGTCGCTGCTCAGTCCCAGCTGAGGAACGTCGTGGAGTCCCTCGGGAGACGCCGTCGTAGTAATTAGCGACTGAAACCCGTACGTTTGTTCTTGTAACGTGAATTCGGGGATTTTAGGGAGATAGAAAATGCGGAGAGGAGACGACTAAAATGAGACTAAGATCTCTATGTGCTCACCTCGGTGTTCATCGGACCAGGCTCCGGACCTATTCCGGAACTGCTACCAGAGGGAGATTCCTCGCCACGTCTCTGGAGGTACAAAACCTCGTCAGCTATTTGTCTGCCGATTTTACTCACCTCTACCTGGCTCGAGATCAACCTCTCCAACCCACCATTACCTACGTCAGAAGGAAGGATATTAACGTTGAGTAGTTTATTTAGAAATTTCGACTAGCGTGAATTGATCGTCAAACTGAAGTGCGGGATCTCTTATCGAGACTTTGTACTCACTCTGGGTAAAAAAGTCGTAATTGCCTTGCACACTCGACCCTTCCAACTTGCTGGCACTGCTCTCGACTTGCCTGGTGTCGCAGCTAGGAAAGAAATTTATTTCTCGTGGGATTCTAATTAAGTAAGTCGCCAATCTACGTGGACAGTTCGCAAAAATTCCGCCGGACAACTCACAGGACCACTTTGTTCTTGCCGATCAAGTGCTCGATGTCCTTCGTCCAAGGATTGCGAAAGGACTTCCACTCGGACTGCAGCTTGACGAAGCTGCCCCCTTTACTTCGAAACCTGTAGACCTGGAATTAGATTTATTCCTAACGTTGTTAACTTCCAACATTCGAAGAAACGATTTCGAAAAATACATTTTACATTTATTGTCCCTTTTATCACGGACGATCTCAATCGCGTCTCGAGATCGCTCCTACCCTCGACGCGTCTTTTTGTCATTTATTTTTTTTTTTTCTTCTCACGACCGATTATCCGAGATTCCAGCATCGATCGCCGGCATTACAATTACAGATTGGCGATTATCGACGCGATTGGCGGGACCCTGAAGACGATGTACCTGGGTGGTGACGCGCTCCGAGGATTGTAGAGCTGCTTTGTGGGACTCCGCGAGATGCGGAATGTCGTTGTACTCGTAGTACTCGTACATACTGGTACCGAGGAGTTCTTGAGGTAGGAAACCGAGAACCAGGGTGGCCCTGAAAACCGAGTACAACGGGGATCACCAAAATCGCGCGAAGCCAATTTTATCCGAAATTATAATTGTACTCGTGGCAACGAAATTAAAAAGAAACAATACCGTGCGCTTGTCTAGTAAACGTCAAATTTCCTTTTTGCCTCCTAATGGAGTGTGGTTCCTTTTTCGCTATCATGCTAGCGGTTATATCTCACGAACCTCTGGTCCACGAAGAGGAACTTCCCGTCCATCGCGTGACGAGAAACAAACTCGACGGACCGCAGTTGCGGCCTCCTCGAGGCGGAAGTCGGAGCTGATAATGGCGGCTGGACCCGACCTACGGCAACCAAGCAGGACAGGTTGCAAGTCTCGCCCTCGACTTCGGTTTCCTGCTCTTCCAGGCCAATTTTGGCAGGGGCCCAAGACTTAAGATACCCAGTGCACTGGATGACACAGTACTTCCAATCTGCAAGGCAAAAATCCGCGTTATCAGGACCGTCCTCGTGAAACCCCACCCGGAAGCGCAGATGATTTATCTCTGAAAATCGTAGATTTTTTAACAATAACGATTGCACGTTCTTATTTACATGTTCATTACTACCCTTCGTATGGATAATTCTCGGAGTGCGATCGCGACTCGTGCTTATATCTTCCGCTGATAAGAGCGTATGTCGCGTTAGCTCCGCACGGCGGACCGAGTTTCTGCAAACCTAAGCGTCTGGAAGAGGAGGAAAGGGAGAGGAAGCGAGACCGGGGAACTCATGCGGAGGGAAAGGCAGGAGAGAGGCGAAAAATTGAGAAAGAGAGGAGTGCTTCAGGTGGCGACTCCTTTTTCGAGGGTGGACGAGCATGGCGCAAACACTCTGGCCGGCCAAATCGCGCGTGCCTTCGTCAAAGAGTCTGCTGACCCCGGGGGCCTTTCTCCGGGAATTCCTGGAGATGCCTCCTCGTGGACTCCCTCCGAAGACTGCCTCTCGAGATCATTTGCCCCGCGAAGCCCGAGGAATTCGACACGACGAGGACGTCGGCGCGAATAAAGCGTCTCGCATGGCAAGAGGTCGGCGAAGGCCGATTCATTTTTATGAAAGGAAAGGGAACGGCGCTTAGGCATTACCTGGATAGATCGCGTACCCATAATTCACAGGAATATTTATATTCTCGATTTCATCTACTCTTCCGAAGTCGGCGGATCTTCGCCGTGCATCGAGTACCGTGGAACTTGAGCAACGTTTTAATTTTTTTTTCCCTCCCTTTCCCAGATGCAAATTGACGAAACGACGCAAATCGACGAAACGGCAAATAAGAGGACTTTGGAGTACTTATCGTTATAATTAATTTCTTTTCCGGCATACTTACCTGCACTTTGCTGCTTTTTTCTCCTGGGGCAGCCGGTGGTCGTGTCGGCCTCCTCCTTCACCTGAGGATCTCCGCAACGTGCGCCGTCGACTTTTCGCTTCATCCTGCAGAAGAAGGACCTCCTGGCTCCAGGACACAGGCGGGACATTCCCTGAGGCATGTCGGTTTTCACCGGTAGCATCGCTGAGTAGGAATATAAATTAAGAGGATTAATTTATCTACTCGAATGGCGGCCACTTAGAAAATAATAAATCGGGAAGTGGGGTAGGAGATCGTCGAGGGCACTCGCGGTCATTCTTGGATCATTTGATCTCCGATCTGGCGATATCTTTTGGATCTTCAAATTAAACCCCCAGAGGATTTCGAAATCGTCCCTCGTGTCTCTCGTCACAGGGAACGATCCTCATTGGGTCTTAACCAGAGTCTTGCGCAATGATCCCTGCATTATTCAGGATGATTCGCCGATCGGCGATGTGCAGTAATCACGGCTCTCCATGAATTATGCCCGGCGATGCTTTCCTCCGATGCATCGCGCGAATTGTACGCCTTTCCCGCAAGAATACGTCCGGCAATTGATCCTCGGTGTCCTTTAACACTTGCTTTTGTCCCGATGCGCAATTTGTTCCGCCATGGAGGGACCTCGAGTGCGGCAAGTACCAATGTCGAGGAAACTGGCCGGAATGAATTTCACCTATTCTACCAAAACCGCGTAATTAGCCCGCCTATATGGTACCCTTAATACAGGACCCCTTAAAATTGTCCAGGAAAGTGTGGGAAATTATTCCGGATTTTTCTTTGCCACGTCCGATCCGTCATTTCCGAGTCTTAGTTTGTATCCGCACGGCGGAGGTCATTGCATAGAGGTCTGCATAGATTTGCATTAGGCACGTGCTGCTTGTGAACTGCAACGATGAATTTACAACCCGAGGTATGAATTAACGATGCTCCGTGGATCGATTATAAAATCCCGAGGAAGAATAATATCTATCGAGTTTTTCTCGCTGATCAGCTTCATTAGCTTTGGTAATAATCGGGATTGCCGCATTCTATCCGGTCGGAAGAAATTACTCGAGCATTGTCTGCATGCCGGAATCCTCTTAAAATTCATTTCAATCGCCATGAATATGGCCGGAATAATTATCGCATTTGTTTAGGCTGAATTCGAGTAACCGGATGAGGTCGCAGTCGAAGCTCGGTGTCCATTATCCTTGCCTCGGTGAATGCGGTTCCACGGGGCACGACTTACGCACACGCGTGTGCACCTAGGCATTGCTGGCATATCTCGGGTGAACGTTGAAATCCTGCTCCAGGATTCGAGCGCTTAATAATCCAATTCATTTAATAATCACGTTACACGAGCCGCAATTGCTCGCATTCGCGAACCTCGAGTAAGCGACTCGAAAGCAAAATCTCGGATTTGCCCTCGTTGCAACAATACCGAGCCATATTTTCCTTAGTGAATACGTATTATTAGATTACCACTCGGGCCGCTTACTTTTGGCGTCGATTAATCGTTCTCGAGGGCTGAGGTCCGAGGACGAAAGCTGCTCCTTCACTTTGGCGACGTCCTTCGGGTGCAGGATGTCGAACCAACTCTGGCCCAGCAGGTCGCTCTGAAATTCCGAAGGGAAAGTCATTAATAATCAACATGACAATAAACAAAAAAATAATAAAAATGAACCGTACATTGTCGAGGCGCGACATGTCGCCGATTAAAAGCGCGACTGGATGACTCGACGCGACAAGTCGCGGGCGTGGCGAGTTTCCATTAACCCAAGAGGGCGACGATACGTCAGACCGACGTGTTACGTCGATGGACAATTAATAATTAACGCAGCGCCACGTGGTAAGTACGTAGACCCTTATCTACGCAAAGTGCAGGCACTCGAAAGACTTAATCGCGTGATATCAAAGCATGGACAATTAATAATTAATGCAGCCCCAGGTCGTGAGTACGTACGTAGACCCTTATCATCGCAAGGACTCGCCCGAAATACTTAATCGCGTCATATCAAAGCATACCTGGGAGTAATTTAACGTCTTCGTGACGGACTCGGAGACGTAGAGAATCCGCCCCCGGTCGCAGCCCATGACGAATACGAAACCCTCGGCAGCCTATTAACAAATATATTCGGTAATTAATTAATTTATCTATCCATTAACCTTTCCATTTACCTACTTATCCGTTTGCCCGAGGGGATTGATTTACATCGGCCAGAATGTCGGATCGTTACGTGCGATCGGGGAAATCGAGGGAAGAGATCAGATGCATCGAGATTACCCAATGAGGCAGTATTCCCTTCTTATCCCGGGTTCTCCTCCGATCTTTCGACGATCCGGCAATCGGTTGGTTAACTAAGTCATGCCAATCGATCCCTATTGACCCAGTCGAGTGGCAATGTGCACTCGCAAGTCATACGAGCATTACCGCTCGCGAGATATGCAAGATGCGATCGAGGTGCATGCCATTATTGCATCACGGATAAGGATTTCACGCAATCAGGATCCTCGCTTTTGACACGCTGAGCAAGGTAGTTATTACTTCTACATCTTCCTTAAGGTATTACACCTTCGCAGTCCGACTACTGATTACACCAAGACTGGAATTAAATATTCCTCGCCCGAGGTTCGCGTTTGAAATTCATACCAATCCGACGAGGATGATCATCGTCGAGGAGAATCCCAATTCTTTATGTAACAAGTAAAGCAGTGCTCAGTTTAGGACGCTCATAGTCGCTTATCGATCCTGCATCGTTACGTAATCCCCTCCTCAGGGTATAATTTAATCGTCATCTACAATCAAGGCACACCTTCGCGTGGGGAGACCAGAATGTAAAACGGCATGAAATGAGTAATAAACTAATTGAATTATCCACGACAATAAAATCCCGCCCCAGCGGTTGATCTTTAATATCCGCGTAAATGACGTCGCTTGCAGTACAAGAGAAAAAAAAAAACAGAAAAAAAAGAAATGAAAATCCTGCCGATTGCGTATATCCTTTAAAAAATCATGGAATTGCCAATATCACTTCTTCCAGGGGAAGATAAAATTTCCCGGTCAGGTTTTACCGCACTATTTTTTTTTTTTTTCATTTCCGAGCCGAATTTTCTTCCCGGTTCTCTTTAATTCTCCACTTTCCCTGGATTTGCCGTGACATTCTCCTAATTAGATTTTGCCACGCTAAGTGCCGGGACTTATTAAGTCTCTCGCCTGACAGTCATTAATTGCCCGGCGATTATGGACTTCTGTCTTAAAGCGACTGCAGCCTCGAGGAGTCGGAGGAGAGAAAGAGAGGGAGCTTGGAGGCCTTTTTTATGCGAACACCAGGAACACGTTGGGCCTCGTGTCTAGTCCTACGTTAAGGCCACTCCTTGGAAAGCTTCGGTTGCCTTTCATACGGAAAAGCTGTGCACGTACCGGAGTATCCGAGTCTAGAGTCGAAGAGAGATTTCACAATGGGACTTTATGCCGCAATTATCGGGTGCACTCGGTGCAGTTGCTGACCTGCCCTGGTATGTCGGGTGTGGTCGCCTACCGGGGACAATTTCTGCGATATATCGGAGAGCGATAACAAAGCCCGCTAATTGATCGAAATCGTTGCCCAACGTCTGCTACACGATACGACTTCAAGAAGTGATTTAAACAATTATTAAATATTTAAATTAAAAATCCGCCTCAGACTACTGTCAGTTGCTTGGGAACAATTGCAGGGATTTATCAGGGATAATCGATCGGGATCACTGGGCAATGCTTGCTGTTGGATATTCATTGCCTAGTAAATATCGTAAATCGGCTCGGAAAAAGTCTTAATAAATAATTATCGGAGACATATGGGAGGAGTTATTTGATGGAGCGATCGTGGCTCTAATGTCATGGGTAACGGGGGACGTTGATCGAGAACACCGTTTGCTGATATTTACAATCCGATGACTGGGTGTTAGATAATTTTCTCTATAAATTATTAGTAAAAAAAAAAAAATTAGAACAAATGTCTAGGGGGGAAAGACGTGCCTGAAGGATCAGCGTCTTCAGTTCCTGGTCGCTAAGGAAGGCAGGTTTGTAATGGTCCTCGGTATAGGAAGTCACCGTCCCAAGGATCGTCTTCAAGTGTTGTACCGCCATTCTAAGGACTGTCAGCTTGTCAAGTTTCCTTGACATCGCGTGACACATTGGCACCATCGCCGACAACTCGGTGATGTACGTGTTCATCTTGTCCCTCCGTCGTTTCTCGATCTCGCTGTGATTCTGTCTGCAACGATGAAACGAGAAAAAAAAAAATAAGAAATGTGAGAGAGAAATAAAATCATTTCTGACCGTAAATAAATAATTGAAAAAATTCCAGTCTTTCCCTCCTATCCGCAAATATTTCCAAGACGTGCCGCAGATCTCTCGAATAACGAGCCGCGCTTTTTGCGCCCCTTTTTATAAACCAATCCAAAGCCATAATTGTCCGATAATCTCGAATCGCACGAAGCGTCGGAACATGCAGAAACGCCGTTCTCCCTCGGAGAGTGTCCGGTATCGTAAAGATAATCACAACCGCGAGAAATCGATCTCGCGAGTTGGCGTTAACGATCGATACTTCGGCCCGGTTAACGGCTAGGCCTCGAAATAACGATCGCAGTTAACGTCGGATCGGAGGAGGCAGGAAAAGAGCGATTTTGGAAAAGGCTCGAAAAAAAAATGGCAACCGGTCGCGACCGTCGAGCGTTGCGCGTGCAATTAATTCTGCATTCCAGGTGGAAATTCCTCGGAAAAATTGCAGCACCAAAAAAGAGATCAACCGAGGAAATAGAGTCGGCAAAAAAATAGGAAATTGCACGGCAAAAAGAAAATAAAAATGGAGGAAGCGATTACAGGCGCATCGATCAGAAGCGAGTCCAGTCGTATCGATTGCGCTTGTGTTTACGCGACTCGGTGTTAATTGTCTAAAATTAGCATAATCTCTATCTCGCGTAACGTCAGTTTAGAGGGTTTTATCTATGGCGAATGCTCGAGGAATGGTGGAATTGAATTTTCGAGGTTTATCCCCGGCTGACCACTTTCAGTAGAGAAGGTCGTTGTGCGTCCGACGGGGCAGCTTAAGGGCGTCCTAAGAAGGGGGACGTCGGTTCGATTTTGAGCCTTATCGTCTCCCCAGTGGATCGGTGACGCGGGAAGCCATAGCCTGGACTCTAGGTCAAGGTGATCCTCACCTTGGCAATGGATGATATAATGCGACGTAACCAGAGAGTCGAGGGAGAGAGAGAGAGCGCCGATCGGCCGCGGACGCCAGACGACTCGGGCTCTCACGTGACTGTAACGACGAAGAGAGAGAGAGAAAGAGAGACCTGCGGTCACGGCGCGCGAAATACTCCCGATATTCCTTATTTCCGGTTTACCGCGGCAAATCTCGACAGAAATCAATTGGTTCACTCCTAAATTATCCGAAAACGTCAAGTACGAAGCGTAATTCTCGCTTTAAGCGCTACTTTCGCGATGGAGAAATCGCGAGGTGGAGGACCTTCCAGTTCCGGCGCGTTTAACCTTAGTTTCTTACTTTTTGCTGCCGTCACTCGTGCGAACGGACCGGGAGTCGTCCCCGGTGTCGTCCAAGATGTCCCCGCCCTCCCTGAAACCGAGAAATGCGAGATTTATTTCATATAATACGCGATTCAGGGTATTTCTTAAGATCGGAAATCCGGAAATCGGAAATCTCTCGGAAATCCCGACCGGCGATGGAGCGCTTATATCGTCGAAATCGCGCCGGGGAGAGAAAAATAAAGATCCTGGAACCCGACGAGAGGGAGGTTAGGGACAATGAATTTCAGTGGTTTGCCGCGAAGGAGGTCGGAATTAAATCCCTTGGCGAGAAGTTCGAGGCGTTCACCCCTTTGATGTTGAATTTCGTCAAGTTTGCTTCGCGGTGCTTCCCAGGGCTCTTTGAGCACCCGGACTTTGGGCGCGTTCGCCTTTGCGTTCGCAAAGGACGCTCTAGGGACTTCCCTGCCTCCTGGACTCGGACTCGACGGCCTCCACCTCGAGAGGAAACAAACGCCTTACGAGAACCCTTCCGAAAGGCATATATCTCAACGAAACTCGAGAAAAAGCCCTCCCCCGCAGACATAAACCACATGAGTCCCAAACCTCCCCACGTCTCTCTTCTCCACGGTCAAGTGAGACCAGATCTCATCCTAGGATGACATTCCCATCCTTTCGGCCGTCTCGAAGTCCCGACCCCCAGGAGACACGGAGATCTTCCTCGGCGATAATTATTCTAACCCTTTGATCGACACCCGTAGCCTTGATTGGCAATTACTCGCGGCCGTATAGAGACTCGTACATACGTCACGAAGGGAACCGCCTCGAGGCGTACTTGTCGAACTTGCTAGGTTTCATTTTCCCCACGAGTACGGGGGAAGTGAGGAATAATTCACAGTCCCCTCATTACCGGGAATCGATGGGGATCGATAATCGAAGTACCCCCTACGTGCACAGGATCTTAGAATTTTTTTTTTCCTCAGCATCTCGCTGGAATTAATCCATCCTTCCCCTTGCCCCTGTTTAGTGGGGGGTCGCGTTCCATTTTCAAAGCTACCCCATGAATGATTAGCTTATCATTAGACTCGGTAGGGTTATTTGGTACTTACTGGCAGGGGGTCTTGCGCCTCTTGGAGAGGGAGGCGCACTCGTCGGAAGAGTCCGTGGGTTGGACGTGCCCCTGGTCGGCGGGGTTGGCGGGTCGGTGGTGGTGATGATGACGTCGATGATGACGATGGTGGTGATGGTGGTGGTGATTGTGGTGGTGAGGGCGGTAGGGGTGCCCTGGGGGCACGGCGGGGGTCGTCGCTTCCATATCAGTCCCCGGGGGGCCCCGGCCGGGGGTGGACGGGGGCACGAGGGCCTCCCCAGCCCCCGACAACTCGCCCCCTCCGGAACTTCCGCCACCCAGGTCGCCGAAGTAGACCGCGGTGTACGAACCTCTGCAACGAGCACACGAGTCTTCAGAAACCCTCGATTATTGTCTAGAATTCGAAAATTCCCTCCACTCGAATAATGCTTCTTTCGTCCTGTATTAATATGAACTTTTTCGTTTAATAAAATAAAAAGGGGAAAAGGATAACAGTTTGAAGAAGTAAAAAAGCCTTTTCGGCTTTTTATTGCTCGACGCGATTACGCGTGGACGCGGTATATACCCTTCGAGAGGTCGGCGGAAAGGGGAGGCGTATTTTTCGCGTTCATTCGTGCATTCGAGGAGCTACATACGCGCATTCGCGAAGGTACAGAGAAATCGAGCCGCCTTTTGTCGGAGGCGCCGATTCGGGGCGGACAAAAGCCGGGAGGAATTTCTAAGAATTCCTTTAGCAAGCGGAATGACGCGCCGACGAATTCGGCTCGCTAAATCCGGCGTAGGAAACGGTGCCGCGGCGTCCACGATCGATCGCAGGAAAATCAAAGGAAAATCAAAGGAAAATTGCATTACATCGTCGCGATCATCGTCGCGATCATCGTCGTCGTAATCGTCGCGAGATCTTAGCCGGAAACGTGGAAAATGATTTTCCCCGGTTTCCTCGGAACTGCCGGGAAAATATCGACTTTCTCCCTTCTTCCGGGAGATATCCGGAAACCGCGAACGATGTAACGCCGAGTAGGACGGTATGGCGAATCGCAGTCGGCCGGTCCGAGTTTCGTCCTTTTTTTCCGCCGATTTTTTCCCCCCCGGCCAGCTTCCGGGTTTAACGAGTTTTCCGGGAAGAATGTCGGCCGGTAAGTGCGCCCCGCCCGCTCGGTGATCGATCCGAGGCTGTCATTAGTTTATGCCGATTTTTTTGCCGATCAGAAAATACCGGCGAATGAGAATTCCCCGCGTTTTAGCCGGATTTCGCAATTCCTGCTCTGCGTAACCTCGCTCGAGTGCGCAGGATATCCAGGATACCTCGGTGCGTTTCTCCATTTTTCCCTTTATTGTCCAATTACCACGAGTAATGACCTCACCCGAAAAATATGACTGCCCAACGCGTCGCGTGAACTGCGGCACGGGATAATTTCTGGAATTTTGATTGTTTGGACGCGAATAATAATAAGTTAATTTTTAGGTTTACAATTAAGAAACTGGGTAAACGCGTCCACCCCGGACATTTTCCACAAATTTTCCAGAACTGGCCTTGAAAGCCAGATCTCCAGGGGAATCCGACGAGGGCTTCGAAGTAGAGCTCGTTCATTATCACTCCTGACGTCATTATATCATTACGTTACGTGAGCATTATTTGCTCCTCGGTGGCGATCCTTCCGCATAATTCGCGTAATCGCGTGTCCTCGAGCGGAATGGCATTTCCTTGGTCGCGTTCTACGTGGATATACATTTTCCGAATTTTTCGGATACCGGCAGCCCCTTGCCCCGGTGTCAGGAAATTCCTCAGGAAGGATACCTGGATTTCGTTCCAGAAAAAATTCCCTAGAACCCCCTAGAACCTCCAAGAATTGAAAAAAAAATTAATTCCAGCCTCATCAACCCCGTTCAATTGCCAGGCTAATTCCCCGGATTACTTTTATCACGCCGTCGACGTATACGAGCCGGTGGCATTTCCTCTCTGAAACTTCGGGTTTGCATAATTTCTCCGTTTTACATAATAATCGTGGCTCGCCTTGGGTCTCTCCCCAGAGGCCGAGCATTACTCTCAGAGTCCACGTATGCGCCGGTCTCAAAGATTACGCCCAGGAGAATGTTTCGCTATCGTTAATGCGCGACCCGTATATCGCACAATCGCCATTAGATCAGTTTCGCAAGCCCGGCCACGCAATTCGCGAACAATCCGGTCGCGGCCCGGCGAGCAGAAGTCAATCCGTGTCAATTGTTAATCTCGACTTTCCCCCCCTTCCCAAAAGTGCTGAGAAAATTCATCCAGGCTGAAAACCCGAAGCCGAAGAAAACCATAAAAAAAAAAATCATGCATGGAGTGCACAGCATAATAACAACGGAAAATAATTAAATTCTCAATTTTCCTACAATCCGCTCGACTCGATGAAAATTCATGCTGAAAACCCGAAGCCGAAGAAAACCATAAAAAAAAATCATGCATGGAGTGCACAGCTCAATAACAACGGAAATTAATTAAATTTTCCATTTTCCTGCAATCCGCTCGACTCGATGAAAATTCGGTCGCGGTAATTTCTTCGCTTTATCGCGACCGTAATCCGAATTTTTCTCAGGCGGCCAATGATTTTTCCCGTTCTAGGGAAAATTCATCCCGTGTGCGAACGAAAGCGTGTCATTTTCGATCAGCTGATTATGGGCTGGCGAGAAAGAACTCGCTCGCCGTCGTTTTATTCCCACTGTTTAATGAACTTACGCCGGGGAAATTTATCTCGTGTAAATGACACATGACTGTTACTTTATGTGTTATATTAATTTATTTCTATCATTATCGAGAGGAGAGGGCATATCGCGAGGCTCGCTCGATTCCTGAGCAGCACGTGTCGCGCTCACGAGACGAGCTCGGCGCTCGTTTCTGCGATCGCTCGATCGCCGTTAAGCAACTAACCGACAGACACGTGTAGGCGTGCAACGTAATAGCTAAACGTGCAATGTTATTACGTGTCAGTGTTTGTCCCTCGAGTAAGCGCGAGTATTACGAGAGCGGGCTCGGTAAATGACGTTTGCCGGCGACTGCCGGGCCACCCGGTCGACCCGTGGGAATTCCTCGATAAATTAACGATCGCATCTGCATCTTGTACCCCGAGATTTTTCCCCAGGTGTCGAAATGCCTACCGGAGTGAAAAATAATTGGCCGATTTTTTTGCGTCCATATTGAGGACGATTCGAGGCGACCGAACGAGCGATTTTCACGGGCGCGCATGACGGCGGCGTATTGCTCTCGGTACTCCGGCGCTTCAACGTAATTAATTGCTGGTATGTCGCAACGCGTTACGTCACAATCCGCGGCTCGGATTGTCGTCTAGGGATTTTCTCTGCGAGTTCGCCAAGTATCCGCGTCATTAATCGAAAGGGAATTTCCGAAAGCCTCTCGTAATTCCGGGCGCGACCCGCGGAATCCCTGCGGCGGATTCCGCACACGTGAGTCCTCGTATCGAGAAACCCTCGGAATAAGAAATGTTCCGTGAACCCTCCTCTACAAATTTTGTATGTAGCATTTTTTTCTATCTCTAGTCAATTTGATCGGAATGCCTGTATGATCGCTTAACTCATTTTCTGTCTTAGTATTCTTTCCGTAATTTCCCGCGATCGGCCGGCACGCACTTCGGATAAAAATCGCAATCGTCGATAAGCGGCCATTCCGGAAATGTTAATGGAGTTCTTTCGAGGCACAGAATATTTCTTGAAATTATCATTTCAGAGAAATCGAGGGAGCTCGGCTGTTAATCGGCATTTTCGAGTTTTATTGATGAGTAATTGCATCAAGCCGAGGAAAACGAGTGAGCCGGTTACGCAATAATGGTTATAACCTTGTAACAAATAAAAAGTTGACGGAAATAAGTCATCCGCGGTATAGTAATGATCGTAATCCCCGATCATTTCCATCCGCGCGTGTGAACATACAAGACAGGATTATTACTAATTTCGAGAAAAATCGTTTTTTTTTGCCACATTCGAAACATTACAATTACAAACTAATCCAGTACTCTTATTCTTGCTCCGACGCCTCGAAGACTCGACAAGAAAATCACTAAACGATTTCAACGTAATCATCATCCTCGGCAAGAAGTCATACCAATTTTTTACAACGTATCTACTCCTCGAGCCATTCCTTCTTTTTTCATCTCAACTATTTTTCCAAGAGACTATCAATCATGCAAATTTCCTTAACTAATTGGTAAGCCTGGTAACTCTCGACCAGCTTAACTATTAACACGTGTTAATATATATGTCACGTATGCGCGACTTTTCCAGGAGACAATTCAAGGGAATCTTCCGTCCATGGCGTAAAGAAACTCGAGTGACAATGAGTATCACGCCAAGTACATCAAGTGAATATTTTTCCGAAGAGATTCCGACTGATTTTCAGAGTTTATCAGACCTCGTCCTTTATCCTGGCACTCTTGACTTACTCCGGAACGACCGAAAGGTTGTAATAGGTCTGCTGTTGGTCCTGATAAAGGCAGGTCGCAGGATTTCTGCTCGTGGAGACGTCCTGGCCGCGATCATGGTCTCGATGGTCCTGATGAACCCTCGGATGCAATTCCTCCAAGGAGACGAATTCCTGCGGATCTTGAGAGGACCTCAAAAGCTCGGTGTACCCATGGGACATGTCCTGGGCGACCATGTTGGAGTCCTGGCGGTCCTGGCGATGCCGGAAAGGACTCCTAGGACTCACTCGAGTCCTGCTCTCCGTCGCCAGGACATCCTGGACGAGCTGCCCGTACTCCGGGAATAGCCCACCCTCGTCTGCTCGAAAAAAATCCAGGAATCCCTAATTAAGGATGTCGCAGGTCGAGAAAACTCGAGGAACTCGAAATCGAGGCACCGAGACAAAATTGGGACCTATTCATAAATCCTTAAGGTTTAAAAAATCCTGTTTCCTCCTTTTCGACGAATAATCCTTCAATAAATAAAGAAGAAATTTGCCATTTCCAGTTGGCGGCCTTGAACTTAAACTGAAAGAGGGTTGAAATGGAGGATCGAAGAAAATCGACGTCGACGAGGAAGAGTTTCGACCGAGGATGTGAGTTTTATCCGGAAGTTAGCTCCGATTTCCCTGATAAAAGGAGTACTCTGAAGGGGTTATGAAAACGCAGCCTCGTGGAGGTTCGAGGTCGTATGGCAATTGTAACGATAAATATGCGCACGCACGTGTGTTGTAATGAATGATCGAGGACGTACCTTGACCCCGAGCAAGTAACAGTAAGAACTGAGCACAGAGGTGGATGTTCCTCGAGTAGCGCTGATAAAGAAGAGCACGTGTATATGAGATGATTGCCCGGTTTACTTTTTACTGATATCTCGAGCCTACTGACGATTACCTGCGCAATTATCATGAATGTCACCGACGCAAAAGCATTTCCTTGCATCCAGCATCGAGAAACGAATCGTCAGCTGATAGCACCGTAAGGGTGAAATTTGCTGGACCGGTCGCGGGAATATGGCCCTTATGAAACCGTGGATGAGGTACCGTGAGGAGAAAATCGAGAAACAGAGGTGGACGTTCCTCTGGTGCTACTGATAAAAGAGATCATAAGGCACGAAATACAACGGCACACTGCAAAGTGCTTTAACCCCGAGGCTCAAAAAGTCCCTCAGACGTACTCGATATTACCGATTGAACCTAACCTATTCGCTTTAGCTCACTTCCAGATTTACGTAACGCGCTCTCTTCGCCTCGTCGATATCTCGGACAATTATCTAAACCTGCATTAGCCATGCGCCTAGCACAGAAATTAGTCCTCCGTAAGGTTCATATTCCCGCGGCCGGTCGTGCGAAAATGACCCTTACGCGCCGGCGACTCGTGCCTCGGAATCGCGGATTTTCTCAAGTCGGGCGGTTTATCATAATTTATCCGGAGAAGATTTGCAATGGCTCGACTGACTTAAGGGTCGATCGACGGTATCAGGGCGCGTAGGAATCGATCGGTCGGCGATCGATTATCAGGACACCATTTATCGCTACATGGGGGATGAATAGCAGGAATCGTCCCGATTATTATGTCGCGTTACCGATCCGGGGAAGCAAAGCGGGATTGTCCACCGTGTAATTGGATGAGCCGATTACGTAACGCGAGAAAGTCGAAGGACGTGATCGCATTGAACTTGTTTCTTGAGCGGGTGCCCGCCGACCGGTCGTTAATAATCGCGAGTTCTATATTTTCCTCTTTTTCCCATTTTTCCCTGCATCTCATTATACAATGTTAAGGTCGCCTCGCGTTTTTGCCTGCTTTTAATAAAACCCAATCGCACCAATACCCTCAATTCAGCATTTTAAACATCTTTCCGGATTTACTCCACTGTGCACATTTCTGAAAGGACGTAGTCGGGCTAGATAATTTTAAGCCATTTAAACCGTTTAAAATCAGTTGAAATTATTTTCACACCTGATCGGATAAGGGGTTGTCGATTTTCTTCGCAGGATAATGAGATGCGGAGGCAACGGTAATGCGGGAATTAATATGTAACCAGGGAGCCGAGTTAATTACCGAGTGTCAATTAAACGAGGAATCTCCATTCAACATCGGATACCGTTGAAAATTACTCGTGCGTGGAGGTGTTCGATTTTTTATGACATTTTCCACGTTCACACGTGCGCGACTGGTTGCGAGAGCGCGACCGATTATCTCGGTAATCTTAATAATTCTAACCTCACTTCCAACTATTTCCCTTCCCGGTTAAACTTGTCTTCCGGGTCTGGATTAAATTCGACCGCAGAGTCGCCAGGAAAAATTTGTAAAGGGGCCCCAATTGACGCAGGACAAAAAAAAATAGCAACATAATTGCCATTTCGACTTTGACTTAGATACACCAGCTGCGAAGTTTGCACACATTGTTGCGAAAGTTCACGTTAAGAAATTTCGCGGTAGCGAGTAGAATGATTCGACAAGGGTTACGGCATGAATGTCGGATATCGAAAGATATTATCATTCATGTACCAGGTACTCAACGAAGGCCAAACCTCGTTCATCTCTCGGACGATTACGATCTACCGGGAAAGCATTCAACCGATGTAGTTTCAAGAAACATTCAATCGGCGCAATTACATGAGAAGATATCCAACAGGCGTCGGATAATCCAGAGGAGGCGCCAATCAGGTGTCAGCCATCGCTCGAAACGTCCGATAGCTCAAACTCCCCGAAGAAACCTCCAACGAGCCCCAGAGATCCGAAGAAGCAAATCCGAGAAGACATCCAGCTGGGACGAGTCCAGCAGAAAATTACCAGACAGAGATATCCAATAATTAGGAAATGTCCCTAGGATGCAGCTGAGAGGCGTCATTCGTCCACCAACCTTAGACGTTTAAGGGACAACGTCGCGGAATATCGTCAAAAGGAAATTCCTCCAGCACTTCTTTTTCTGATCTGTTTATATTGTTTAACACTTCCCAGGCCGATTGCGTGACTTATCAGCCGGTAAAACGGTCGCCTCGATTTCGAGTCGTTATCGTCACTTGGGGAGGCCCTCCTTACCGAAGAGCGCGTACATCCACGAGAGTACGCACGAAGCGGCATCCTCAGCTACTGCCCTCGGTCTCGGTCACGTTTTGCGATCAGGACGGAAGGCCGATGCCCGACCCCGTGCTGGGAACCCAACTCGACCAATCGAGGCCAAACTCCCAGCGACCTCGGTCTCAACTAGGTGGTACACCCCAAAACTCGACCCGACTCTCAGCGGTCCCACGTGGCGGCCCCGGCCCGACCCTCAGCGATTCCACGTGTTGGCACCCTCGACCCGAGACTTGACTCGCGCCTGAGAGTCAATTGCGTCCAATTTGCCCGACTCGACCCGACTCTCAGCGATGCACCTGCAGCGATTCACTCGATTGAAGACTTGGCTCGCGGCTGAGAGTCGAGGGTTCCCGATTTGCCCGACCCGGCCCGACTCTCAGGGATTCCACGTGTCGGCACCCTCGATCCGAGACTTGACTCGCGCCTGAGAGTCAATTGCGTCCAAATTGCCCGACTCGACCCGACTCTCAGCGATGCACCTGCAGCGATTCACTCGATTCAAGACTTGGCTCGCGGCTGAGAGTCGAGGGTTCCCGATTTGTCCGACCCGGCCCGACTCTCAGGAATCCAAGTGTCGGCACCCTCGACCCGAGACTCGGCTCGCGCTCGAGGCTCGACCCGGCCGCGTACCCGACCCGAGTACTGGCTCGACTCGACTCGGCAGGACTCTAGGCTCCCGCGCGAGCGGCGCGACCGAGCTGCGAGGCTCCTCGCAGGCGGCTGCGAAGCGAAGCCGGGTGCTGCACCAGGAGCGAGAGAGAGAGAGAGAGTGAGAGGAAGAGACCGAGACCAGACCACGTGGTGACTCGCCGCAGGTGGGAGTGACCGAAACCGCCCCTCTTGTCGAGCCCGCGACGCGCCGGCTCGGGGGCGGGTGCACCCACCCCTGGGGCTGGGGGCTGGGGGTGGCGGCCACCAATGACCGGAGTGCACCGAGACGGGCGCGACTCGGGAATTCGGCGCGTCCCGGAGGAGGGCTAGCACCCCGGAGGACAGGGGTGCCTTAAAAAATAGTAGAAACCTCAGAACAGACGTTAGAACGAATGGATCCGTAGTTAAGAAAATTTCTCTATCTTTTTTTCGATATTTATTCTAACGATCCAAAGTCATTAAATTAGTCTAATAGAGAGTATCTTGAATTTTAGGGAAGCCGATATTAAGTCGAGATAGAAGGCAACGACGAAAAAGTAATAATATATAAAAAGTAATATAAAAAGTATCGCGGGGATCGCGAGAAATGACTTATCGCATCCCTGGGGATGTTTCCGATATCGCGCTGACCGTTCCCGTCGTCTCGGCATTCGTCCTCTCCGCTTTAATCTGCATTCGAAGGCTGTGATAACGTTTCCTTTCATGGGGAAGCCCGAGAAGCGAGCCGCCGAGGCGAGCCTTATCCATCCGCGAGCTTTCGCGTACGTGTGGACGTGCCTTAACCTTCCACCTGTACCGCATGGAAACGCCTTCCTTTTGTCTCGACAAAAAGGAAAATCCGCGAGTGTCGATAAAAGCGAAGGAAAAACCGCGGAAAAAGAGTCCACCCCCTCGTATCCACGATATCTCGCCTAGACTTCCGTCACCGTTTCTATCCTCCTTCCATCGAGGGAATCTCGGCAGAGCCTCACGCCAAGTACTTCACCTGGAGAACCTCATCGCACCCAGAAGACATCGAGCCTAGCCGGAACCATTCATAAAAGGAGAAATAAAATTCACCCGAATATTCATATCTCCCTCTTCCCTCTGCAACTCGTACACGAGTATCGCAAAACTGTCCAGGGGGAGTCGATACTTCGATTGGGAAATGTTAAAGCACCGCGCGGGCAAACAAACCGAAGGGAGGCCCGAAGTGGATGCTCTTATGAGAAAAGTTTCCTCGCCGGGAAGATTCCTTTAAATTGTCTCTTCGGGTCTGCGAGTAGATACGTCATTTTAGCGTCTCCACCTTAATCGTCCCTAAAATGGCACCATTTTACATAGGAACTTCAACCCTATCGGTGCTAAGCCGGGACATGGGAACAACCCCCTGGAAAGCTCCGCTTAGCGTATGCGCATTAAACGTCATTAAACGTCACTAAATGTCATATTTCGAGGTGTCATTCTTTTCCCCCGGCACGATGCGGCAGAGGGGGGTGGATTTTCGCTTTCGTTTGAAGTATACGCGACCCCCGGATCGGCAACGCGAGGGTGGCCACTAGTTAGCGCGACTCTTCGGTAACCAAGGATCAGGTCCGCCGATTAATTTGGCCTAGCTCCGGCTCAATGCCCGCTTATCCAATTTGCAGGACTCGGTGCATGCGATTTGCGCTAAATCCCCGAGGCCGCTCGTTGTTTCGAGGGTTTTCGGGACCCCCGGATCGATCGAGATCTCCTAAAAAAGTGTCTGCCGATCTCTGACCAGCTTATGTACGTACTTATATATATATATTTTTTTTTTCAGGCAGGAATACATCGCTCATATTTTAGGACACTTCAAAATTCCTCGAGAATAGGCTAATAAATAAATTACCCCCCGTTACGCCCTTATTCCCAGTGGAACAATGGGGAAAGCAATCCTCGTTGCGACACTTTCGGGTTCCTTTCTTCCCCTTTTCTCCCACACTCGTCAGCGAGTATCGACTTACTTGGATTACCCGAGAAAGGCGAACACCGGGATAATTTAAGTGTACGTCTTGCAGCTCGTAAGAGAGGCTTTCCTCCGGTAGGATTGATTGGTAACACGATATCAGCCATCCGGCCACAGGACACGAGTCCTGCAGGACTCGAGTCCAGATATCGGTGCCCTAATCCCCGGTCATTCGGACTGGACAAAATAACCGAGGGGTAGCTCCTCGAGCTAATTCATTTATCGGCCCGTCGTTAATGAGATTAATTTTCACGAACGACCGAGACACATTTTCAAGCTAGTCATAATTGGTAATGATAAGGAGCAACGCGATGGAAGTACCTTCAAGTGGTGACAACGACGGTGCCTCGGCGACTTCATTTGGCTGGCCTCTGTCGCCCAGCTCCTAAAAATGAAAAATTAATATCCATGAGTATATATTATATTAATAACTGGTTGTTAATCAGAGGAAATTAATTCCAAGTTATGTCGACACATTCGGCGAGGGAGAGGAAGAAATAAGGATACGAAAGACGCCCTCCTCGGTGTAACGTCGATTCTAATTGCGACGTCCCCTGACGAGAACTCATTCCAGGTTTTTATAATTGGCGGGCTAATTTGTTGTTTGAATGGCCGATTGCTCATTGAACCGAGCTTGGAATAAGACGATCGTTCCTCATGCTCGGACGACCCGAACGACAAATTAAACGGCCGAGTCGCTCCTGGAAGACTTCGCGCTTCGACAGAGAAGGAGAATTTTTTTTTCCTCTCCCGAGGTAATTAAGAGGGAACTTTCATTTCCTAAAAATGGATCGAATTAACGTCGGGATAATAAGAGATGCCGAGACGTCATTGAAATTGCCTCGACTGAAAATTATCCCGTACTTCGCCCGAAGGATCCTCCTCGTTACTCGAGTTTGCGTACAGTGCTGAATTCCAGTTGCGTAAGAGACCAGGGAACAACAGTACAACAATTTAACCACATGGTTATGTAAACGTTATCGAGCCTGCTGCTGACAGATTACGGCTTGCCACTGACATCCCCCATCGCCACTTCACTGAATTAGAAGAACGACCTCCTCTGCCGCCACCTCGTCGAGGACCACTCCCTCCAATTACCGCGATTCCTCTCATTTCGGCACGAAATCGCATCTCGAACTACGTAAATGCAGAGTGCACCCGGTAAACCGAGGAACAATCGCATATTATATGGAAATCTACGGTAATAGGTATAAACGTTACGCAAGGCTTGAATGCGACTCGTGAAACAAGTAGGTCCCGAGGCAACCATTCGATACGATTTTCCCTAACAACGACAGCCGATACAAGAAAATGTCTCGAGTAAAAGTTGCGTTAAATGGTGCTTCGTGTAACTTTTATTTGAAAGAATTTTTTCTATCACGCCTCGGTAATCGAGAACAATTGGAAATACAGGAGACCGTGAAGAGGGCAAGGCCTGAGTTGCGCAGGCCAGGGTGCGATATAAGACGCCATGGGGAAGCTACGAAAAATATCGCCGAACAAAAGTTGCTCGGAATAGCCCTCTCGATAAGTTTCGTCCGAAGCATTTTCCTCGAATCTGCGTCATTGAGCGGGAAATCTACGAGGAGGGCCCCTTTTCCAGTGAACGCTTTTGCGTCAGTACCCCGATGGTCCGTGGGCCGCCCCGAAGAGGAGGGTGCCTTTCATTCGGTAACGAGACAGTGCATTGGATCGGCCGAGTAAATCGACATAATGGAATTAGGATATAATGGCACGGATCGTTTCACAATTCAGCTGCACACGACGATGTGCGTCAGATGGCAATAGGTAAACGAGGTTGCGAGGAGCCATTCTCCCCTTCTGTCATTTACACTCGACACACCTGTACCTATCTCCGGTATGCCCCATCCGCCGAGGAGGCATTTTTAATTTAAATACTCCCATTACCCTCTCAATTCTCTCTCTCTACAAAAATATTACATTAACTAAATCTTCGACCTCGATCATTCGATATTCATTTTTTTGCCGTATCCTTAAATAGAGTAATATGCAACACGTAACGTCAAGTTGCATTTTTACGAGGTGAGATTTTAATTTTTTTCCGCCCAAAAATGGAGTAGCTCGCCAAACGCCCCGAAAGGTCTTTTCTCGCGGCTTTGACGCGGTAATGTCAAGGCAACCCGACTCTTATCGGTGCAATTATGTAACCGGCCTGTGAAGTACGCTGCACCAATAATGCAGCCCACTCCCCGTGCCCGCGGTGCACTTGACCTGTGACGCAAAAATCGCACGCTTCCCTCGAGCGCCATTAGCATAGTGCGTAAGACATCGTACCTGCTCCTTCCTCCTCCTGTCATCCATACACGTGGGTACATAACGTCCGAATAATAAATATGAATAATTTCCCCCCCGAAGCATACAATTTCTATAAACATCGCCTCGTTCTACCCAAGGAACCGCATCAAAAAGTCCCTTGCAAAAATGTCCCAGAAAGACCAGTCACCGAGAAATATGATAAAATGTCAAGAATTACTAAAATCCACTTTTTTCTTCCTCCGCCTTTTTTATTCCTACATTCGTGACTTATCTCGCGGACGAACGCGTTAACTGGAGATTACGGGCTTACTTTCCCCGTGTCTCGAATTTTTCTTGGAAATTTGACTTAACATTAGAAGTGGCATTTTAGCGCGTCGAAGGGAACCTCCTCGGGAGTCACGCGAGTCGCGCAATCAGCGACCAGTGCCGGCCCCGAACGGCGGCGTTAATTCCGCGTCTCTCCGCGTGGGTAAATGCCGGCCACTCCGAGGCAGACATAAATAATTATTAAATGCCGGACACACGCGCCACGCGGACGGCCATTCACCGTGCGCACCTTCGGCTCGGTAGGATTTGCATTTGAAACGCAGTGACCTTTTCAGGCCGTTTACGCGGTCGCATCCGCGATAAACCGCGTTTCCCCTTACCCTCCACTGACACGCTGACCGAAGCGAAGATGAATCCCGAGCGGAGAATATTTCAGCATCCCAAATGGAGCTGGAAATTCCCTACAAGTCCCATAAGCCACCGCAACTCGAGAAACGTCGCCCAGAGTCGCAACCCTAAACGCAACTCCCGGCTCGGGAGATATTTCATCGCGGCTCTACGATCGTCAAATCGAAGCCAGGGATTAATCTCGAGCAAAGCCACTTTCCAGGGACCTCCAGGAATGAGAATCCGGTCTCGAAATTCTATTAATCCACCCTAGGTCGCCACATTTTGAAAAATGACCTCGCGTCCGGCGCGCGCTCTCTCGGCGACTCGGGAAACTAGTATCCCCGTGACGCAAACGTCCCAACATACGCCAGCCTGAACTTTGGAGTGAAAGGTTAAGCTCCGGAATCGCGAGCGGCACGAGCGCGGTCGGCCGACTAGGTCCTCACCTGGGGGAGGGAAAGGTGCGCGTTTTCTCCCGTTCCCCATAATTTTCTGAAGACATTACAGTCGTGATGGAGCTTAATTTCAATACGCCTGATCAACGATATCCAGTTTAACCCGAGATGACACCCTATTACAATTTATTCCCTCTTCACTTTCGACGCTTACGAGGGTTAGGTTAGGTTAGGTTAGGACGCCGGCAAATGGAGACTCGAGTAGGAGGTCGAAACGGCCGGTTCGCGAGGGAAATCGGTATCGCGGTCGGAAATTCTGGTGGGAAAACTGTCGACTCCGCGGCACTATGTGCGAGGGAATTGCTTTGATGTGAGGTAATGCGCACCGAGCACGCAAGACGCATTACGCAACGTTTAAAGAGACCGCGGGGTAAGGCGGGCCAACCTTAGCCGATGGCCTCTGTCGAAGGCCTCGCTCGGTGCGATTCTGAGAATGGAAAATTGAATTTTCTCGAGAAAAAAGAAGAAAAAAAAAAGAGGGTACATCTACGCCGATTTTTCCCGCGGAATTTTATTTCCCTCCCCATTTCGACGATTTTGTCGGACAAAGAGGAGATAAAGCGAAACAAGGGAAGAACGAAAACGGCAATGCACTTCGTGACGATACTCCTTGTCGCGCGATGATATAATATGTCGCGGGGAGACGCTTATCAGAGATATGCGTGTGTGCGCGCACACCTAAGGGGACACATTTGCGGCCAATCAGCGTGCGGCATTCGTCACGCATGTGTGTGCGTGCGTGTGAGCGCCGCGCGTCGGGTTAGACAGCGGAAACCTAACCTATCATTACGCGTGCACGGGCGCCGCAAGTTGGCGTCGATAGCGCCTAAGGTAATAATAGTGAAGTTCGATAGCGTCGGCCCAGAAAACCGCGACAATGGAGGCGGCAAGACCTCGCCGGGCTTCCCTTGTACTTCCGTCGACGCCCTGAGAAGTTCCCGACGTGGCGTCCAAGATGGCGTCCGCTCAGAGATTTTCCCGTTTAGGGCTTTAAATCGTGCCCACGCGCGGGAAACACGAGTTTACCTTCTCCTTGGAATGTGAAAGGTGTTATTGAAAGCAGCGGGATGTTTTCAGGAAAATATATCGCCACCATTTTAACGGATCGTTCCCTTCAGAAGTTTTCACGACGGCTTCCAAGATGGCGGCGGAGACCCCGCTTCCCGTTCCCGAGTCGCCCGTTTATTTCGACTGTTTCCGTGGTTCGATTGCATTTGTAGGTAAAAATGAACGTTAAAGATGGTGAATGATTTTTCTAGAAACTCCTTTCGGTGATTTATGATACTAGATTGGAATTATCTAAGCGTTCCTAGGTAGGTAAAGCGGCATCCAAGATGGCGTCGGCGAAGGGCCCTGCGTTCCTAAAGACGGCAATTGCCATTTTCTTTCAATTACTAAGACAAAGTTAATCGTTTCGTAGGCTATTCCATACAATTCTAAAATAACGCCTCGTAATCTAACAGGAGAATTTGGGTTCGAAAATTAGTTATTTAAAATTTGACGTTTACATATCCGATACGCTGTATGCAAGGTCGGCAGGGGACGATACGGCGATATTCGCCGTTCTTTTTTAAGTTTTGCCGCCCGGCGAGGTCATTTACAGGTTTTTCTTTTTTTTTTCCGAAGGATTTGCTTCGAAATTGCGTTACCTTGAACTTGAGTACAGCCGTAGTCGTTCGCGACAGTCACGACGGCGCAGTTTTGCATGTCGCGAGGTGCATCGAGCGTGGTTGCGATTTTAAATTAGAAAAGGGACGTCCAAGAAGCAAAACTCACCTCAAACGACCGGACCACTTCTGGGTTTGGTTTTTCGACTCATCGTTCGCGGCACTGCAATTATCGTTGGCTTATCGTTAACGCGCGAAATGGATCGCGAACTCGCGGGTTGCACGTGAATGCGGAAGCGCGCGTTGCATCTCACAGATTGCCGCCTATCCGGCTGAGCTTTGCAACTCGCGCTGCAACATCCGGGAAAACTGCACATTTAAGGTGGAGCCACTCTACAGAAATCACTAGATAACGAGAAATCCCTGAAATACGTACTGTTGGTATTATTTGGTACGATCGGTAAAGTCGAACAGTTATCATGAAAGGCGGTACCCGAACGGGCTTCACAAACCCTCCACGTGGCAGAATTGAGCAAAAACCACCGGGGTTGGGTAATTATATCCCAGCCCCTGAGAGTTGAAGATTACTTAAAAATACTTTAGTTTACATCTTATTGTATTTACATTCTAAAGAAACTGCTGCACAAAATATTTAATTACGCTTGCAATACTGGTCTTTCGTGTTTCCCTTCCAAGCCGTCGTTGACTGCTGCGTATCCAGTACCACCCTGTAGAATATGCATGATTAGTAACGTGAAATAGATGCAGATGTTGATTACTAAGAAGTTAGCATACTCTTTCAAGGGGGATGATGTCGTCTTCGGTTAATTTTGATCCATCGAGAGGGTTGATCCAGTCCTTCTTTAAAATTTTTTCTACGCACTCTACAGTCACCACGTCCCCTCTGAAAATTAAAAGGTTTATGATATGGGGAATATTGGAAAATTACAGAAATTAATTTTAGAAGTAAACTTACGTCGTCTTTATAACGGCGCATGGAACATTGTTCCCCAGGACATCGTGCGTAATAGGGCACATGTACCGAGCCTGTTTCACGATAAGAGATTTTTTATCGTCAGGATCTTTAATTTCGGTGAATTTGACAGGAACTAAGTCCTTCAGTTTAAGAATCTTCCCACTGATAGGGCAATAAATATTCTTGTCAGGTTTATTCAACTTCGCCTCCTTAGCCTGAGGAGTTTTTGAAGGTATCCAGAAACTAGGCAGCATCTTGTCTCGTCCGTTACTCATGTTAGAGATCGACGAACCAGAATTCTTGTCTTGACTCCTCATCATCTGACTGGATGAAACGATGTTCTTCTCGCCTTTGAGGAAGATTTGGAGCTTCAAGAGTTCCTCGTTAGCACTCTCCTCTTGCGATTCTTCCTTAAATGTCAGAATAAATATTAAAACTACATTGGCATTGATAAATTGCTTTTATTCCAAGACACGTACCTCTTCTTTCCGTTTCTGTTTCTCATACTCCTTCAACTTTCTCGCATATTCTCGCTTTTTGGTTAAGATGTATTCCAGAATCGCTTCCTTGTCGAACAAGTAACCGTCTTTTCTGTAATGAACAATACGATAAATGCATTGCCAAATTACATTAGATTATTAACGAAAACCGTTCCCTTACGTGACGACTGGATTTCTACATGGTTGCAAGGTTAGGCAACAACAGTCAAAATTCTTCACGGAATCCTTGCCAACCCTTTGACTATTCGTACCATAACCTGAAGCTGCAGCATCCTTCTTCTTCTCGTGATATGTGTAAACCGCACCTGCTGTGCAATTTCTGGCATGGCGTGTCATTTTAATCCACTTCTGAATCCACGTAAAATCTCACACTCCTCATCCAACGCTGTTATACAAAATAGCTGTCAAGTAATTCAATATACATATCGATATAAATCGAATCGACGCCACGTTCGATGGACGCCGACTCTGACTGGTTGATCACTCCGCCATCTTGATTTTGCCTCATGTTTGAAAAGTGAAAACAAGTCGGACGATCTCCGCAATAGACTGTAAAAGTAAATTGAATATTATTTATTTAAGGAAGAAATGAAGAAATTCGATAGAATTTCGAACCTTGAGTCTAAACATTTTTTAAAGGCAATAAAATGTGTACATCTTTAGCTGAATATCTGTATTTAACTATAATTGATAAATATGCACATATGTACATGATTAACATAGAAGATGAGTGCGAGATATTTCCTGACAATTGTTGAGTATTTCTTAAAAAAACCACAGGTTGTTTATATACATTGCATTGAGGTGTACATACACGATCGGTTAATTTCAGTTGAACATGATGCATGCAATTTCTGCTGCATCATTTATCGCTCTCGCTGTCACTCTGCGAAGAACTATGCTTTCTGTGCTTCTTGTGCTTTTTGTGTTTAGACTTCTTCTTTTTCTTCTTTTTGTGCTTTTTCTTCTTCTCCTCTTCAGTGGAGGATTCTTCGGATTCGGAGTCGCTGCTCTCCGATCGCTCTCGCTTCCGCGACTTCTTTTTCTTCTTCTCCTTTTTCTTATGCTTTTTCTTGGCGTCTTTTAATTTCTTTTTGAGCTCCTTCTCCCGGAGCTCGGTCAAAGGTGTGACATAATTCTCGTCACTGTCCGAACTTGTGCTGCTCACGTCGAGGACGATTTCTTTGTTCGGATCCACCTTAATAAAATTACGACACTGATATGTCAAGTGCCCGGCATAGCCACACTTTTTGCAGGCTGGACGGACATGCTCCTTGTTTTGAGGAATCAGTCTTGACAGGAACTCTGGATCCATCGTCCTAAAAACAATCATTTAAGTTTCTTCTAAAAGTGCAAACCCCTAAAAAAGTAGAATCATTATCCAGATATATACGTTAAGTCAAATTTCTTGAAAATTTAAATTCCTAAAATACAAAGTATTAATATCGTTTAGTAACCAGAATTATCCAAATATTTTTGAATTAAGCCTCAATAGTTCAATGCACTCTCTCTCAGACATGTGATAATTTGTACTCTCTCTCCAGTGATTCTATGAGCGTCCTATGATATATTTCTCATTCCTCCGAAATATTTTCAGTCACAATGAAATTGGCGCTAACTTAACCTCAACTTTCATCACAATTTGCTTCACCTGCCATTTATGAATCGCCCCTACAGTACCGTTCTCTGACGGCAAGAAATGGAATTAAGAATCGGCGGAAAATTTAAATTCATTGTTCCTTTCGAAGACAGATAATATTCTGTTGCTACACACATTACGATATAAATGATAACAGGCATTTACCATCCATCTATACTTTAACTATAACATGTACACTTTTTATAATCAGCTCTAAGATACTTAGATGCACTTTCAATACAGGATGAACTGCAAGGCGTGCATAAATAATTTGTAAATAAAAATTATAAAGAGACGGGGCTTTAAGGGTAATGAAATAGTAGCCCCGCGAACGTAGAGTGGCCGGGATGGGATAGAGCGACGTAAAACCAATATTTTTATTACAATATTATAAAATCTACACCGACACGTATCACAATAAAACAGGCCCACAAAACGAGAGGTCCCTCCGGAGTGCGAATGACGACTCGTAATGCCGGCCTTTACGAAAAATACATCGACAAGAAATATACAATATACATCCAGTATAAAATAAACACATTTATAGGTCCAGTATGGAACACCCATTTAGGCTAACAGCTCGAATCTTTAGGATACCACATATCGGCTAACTCTTGCGAGATCTAGGCTACTTTCGCTACTCGTTACACAAGACACCGACACTTTGTTTATAACTTTTTTAATATTATCCCCAATATATCCGCAGTCGTCTCGTCGGTCGTACCGGATCCACGTAAAATTCAACACTCTTCGAGAAGTTCGACTCGATGATTAATTCATCTGAATAACGCGTAATATAAAATGTTTGCAGTACTCCATATGTGCAAAAAGGTCGCCGAAATGAAAACGAAAAAAAAAAGGGAAAGTTAACTTGACATTTCGATTTTTGGGTAAATAATTGCAGATAGGTGATCGACGCTTGGTAGATATCTTCCCGGAATATCTTTTTCCATTTCGAATGCTATCGGTTTTTCGGAGTCCTTTGATTAAATTTCAGCGACCTCTCTGACGTTTAATAATTAACAACGGCTCCTTTATTTATTAATGCAGCTGACGAGCGTTACTCTGGCGTGTTTGGAGGTAAAAATTTCGAAACAGTTGCCCGTGTCAGATTTTCAGTGGAGGCTGTACTCATCTTTTTCTCTTTATCCGTCTCTCTCTCTTCTCTCCACCTTATGTAATCTAGGGCTTATCATGGACATTTATCAAGACACGACATCGATATTTCTTTCCGGTGTTACTCGGCTACGAATTTTTTTTCTTTTTCCTTTTTGTTTAGTTAATCACGTTTGCACTTCTCTTGAGGAGAGTAACTTGGATATACGGATATAGCACTCACACACGAGACGTAAGTGATATATACATGTATACGTATATACGAGCGACGTGGCAAAGGGTACACCCATTTAGCTCGTTTTATATGTATACATGTATTACCTAGGTGTCGTATATGATACTTGTCTCGATAGAAATACGGTGCAACGCTTATGTAGGAAACAGTAATTATTGTGAATTCGTGGTCCTCGGAGTTTCGAATCTAGTCACAATTTCTTTCCACCGCACGCAGTTTACCATAGTCGCATCTTAACACCCATTTGCGCGGGTCCTCTGTTAAAATTATTATAAATCTTCATTTGTAATATATAACACGTAGTACGCGAGGAATAAATCGTAGGCCTGCTCGGCTCGCGCCGGGATGAACGATTAATTCTCGAGGGGCACTTAAAAATTCTCAGGTTACGAGGGAAGTACATTTCTAAAAATGGTAACTCGTCACCGTAATGATACTGGAATAAAAATGGTACAGACTCGCACGGAGAAAGAAGCAGAATTAAATTCTAATGGGATCCGAATTGCGATCGTAGCAGCGTTCGCGCTTTAGTATGACATTAACGATCGTTAATAATAAATACGGTTGTTTTCACGATGGAAATGATTAAAAATCATTTTCAATTACTAGGTGGAATGAGGTCGCGATTATTGCTACGATTACAATGGGTTCTTTCGAGCCAGGGCAGGCAATCGTGACGGAAACGTCTTCTATGTCGAGTATTTCCATCGGAAAACAATGCAGAATGTGCGTATTGTACGGAGACGGCCAGCGCTCTTGTATGTATTTTTTTTTTCTTTTTTTTCTAGTTTTCGTTTTCTTTTTCCGGCTTCGAAGAGGTCGAACGAGCTTCGGCCCTTTAATGGCCGACTCGCCCGTGGGAATGCTATTTATCGTTGCTCTACGACATCGAGTCTCTATTAACTAGCTACGATGCTTTAGAATTTGCAGCTACCACGCCTCTACCCACTACGAACTACATATACGAAAATTGGCTACCGCGACGGACGACCGCTGAGCTCCGGAATATTTTTCCATGTTTTTCGACATTTTTCATATCACGGCTAGCCAATATCCGTCCACGAGGAACTTCCCTCTCTCCAGGAATTTTCCAACAGACGTTCTGATAAAATTGTTGGCTTTACGTGATTTATTTTATTTTATTCTTTTTTTGTTGTCCACTTCCGTAAGACTTCCACGATCGTCCGGCGCAACTACTGGCAAGTAATGGAAGATGTAAAAAAATATGTTCGTCCTCTTTCTCTCGCTCATTTTTTTTCATTTCCAATTAGAGACCCTCTCTCTTTTTGCGATTTTCGGCTTCCGCAGATGGCGGCGCTCGAGATTTCTAGCTACGTCGGAGGCTAGATAAAAACGATGATACCATATACAATATATGTATATATCTTAGAAATAACGAGACAGTATATGTAGGAGTTCGGTTAGGTGTGTATACGTTTATACAAATATATGTATGTGTCGTTACAATGCTCGCATCGTGGCTCGCGCGATCCTAGCTCTTTACCTTGTACAAAGTATATATGTATATATACACCGTATATTTATGTATATCAATATATCGGTATATCCGTACACAGAGGTCTTAGCGACGCAAACGCGACACCGACGTCTTCAGAATGTCGAGATATACAGCCTCGGGTAATTAATACTTCGGCGATATATCCTATTCAATAGTTTGTTATACTACAATAGAATATATACCAGTACATATAAAGGGAGAGAAGGGGTGCCGCGTTTGCGTGGGATCTCTTTTCTCGCATATCCGTATATACCCGCGCGATGTACACGTGATATACGTTATATGCTGCCATGCTGATACTATACTTTATATACATGTACACGCGGACACGTAATCTATGTGTAAGCCATGAGGGATGGACTCTCCGAGCGCATTTACGCCGTCTAGACGTACATAACCTATGAACCGGACGACGCTCTTAAGGGATGTCTGATGTATCGACTCCCATTTATTGAGCTCTCTTAAAGGCGGCCACGATGGCCCCTCGACCAATGGGGAATACCCTCGGAGGCTGTTAAAAACGCTCCCTCGGAGCCGACAGACACCCTTAGGACGGTCGCCGGCAATTAGAAAATGACCGCGTAAAGGCGCGCCTAAGTTCACGCGTCCCTGGAAATTGAGGCTGATGGAAGTGAGGTTAGGTGTAACGACCGCGCGTCGCTCCCTATAGGCCGACGAGTGCTCGCCACCGTAAGCGACGGAAACTCCACGCTTTTCTACGGCCCCCGACGACGTTTTTACTATCCTCATTAAAATCTACGACGAAATGTCTCTTTGAAATATTCCTCCACGACCTGCGGTTCTCGAGATAATCGACTTCAAAGCCGGCCAATCGCGCTCGGTGGGCGGGGCCACGCGGAGACTCGTGATTGGTCGAACGGTTTTAGCTGATTTCTCAGGAACTACTGACCCTAGGGAATCGGTGCAAAGGACCTTTTCGATTAATTCTCTGTTGAAGAATCTGTCGTGAGATTTCTACACGTATTGGCGACGGCGCAAATCTACCTTCGTAGAACGACGCGGGGTAGTGGAACCTCGTAGACGGGGGAAATCGCTGGTTACGACGCGCGTTTCCTGGTCCCATTTCTCAAGTATTATCTCCCTTGACCTTCCTCCACCCTTATTGCGGCTTTAGGGTGCCTTTTCATTCACGCGCAGCTGCTTCCCTGAGCTGCTATTTGTTGCACAGCTGCATCGCCGCGTGCAACCGAATGATCCTCGTATATCGATATTATTCCTCTTATTTCCAATTTCTAAAATCTTGCGAATAAGTAACATAGGCAGATCGGTAATGTTCCACGTACCCTCATTTTTGAACTGGAAAATCCTCTTTGGCCGAAATTTAATATTTTTAGCAGATTCACGTGAAAATTAAAGAAAAAATAAAGAAATTAGTTTTTTTTTTAAATGAGTTTAGAAATTAAAAACAATTTACCCAAATTTTAGGAGACGTAGATATAGTTTAAAAAAGGCGAAATTCCTTCGTTTCTCTCGCTTTCGCTACGTTTACTCTCAATACCCATACCTAGAATGATCACAGCTTGACAGAAGGCATGTAAAATACAATATTATAGATATATATATGTATATGTGTGTAGTCACGATACGTAATTATAGTAATTACAAGCACTCGAGTATATCGGCACGCCCGTTAGGCTGCCCCTTTTGCAAAAGTTGCCGTTTTGGAGGCGAACGAAGTCCCATATTTTCTTTTCCCCGTTTTTCTAAAAATCGTGACGGCAATCTATCGATCGATGGCTTAGGTCAGTTCGCCTCGGTCGATCCTGTAGCAACATCTCGATGTGCGAAATAGTTCGAAATGGAAAAGTAAGATTTTTAATTTAAATCCCGATCACGCATGATCAGGATTTTTCTCACCGAGTTTTGGGGGGCCTTGTCGCGAAGGCTGAAACTCTTGAATTAAAGCGGCTTACAAAAAGAAAAGAAATTCGGAAGTATTTTCGGACGTTTCGTAGGCAAGAATCTGGTGTTAATCCTTTAATGAACAATAGGCATGAATTATCCCGAGAAACCGAAAATAGATATGAATTTTCACCAGTCTTTTCTCGTCTCTGTCACCACCTAGAATCCAAGTAAACTACGACGAGCTAATTTCAGAAATCCTTCGAAAAAACGAGTAGAATGAAACTTGAGAAAATCTAAGCTATCCGGGAACTTAGAAAAAGATTTTCGATTCTGGACGTTTCATCCCGAGCGAGACTCCTAGATGCGATCCTGGTGTTCATCCTTTAACAAATGGGTGTTAATTATCAATAAAAATATATATATATATGTATATGGTCTCGCCGGTGGACTCCTTTAAAAAATGATTGATTAACAAAGAAAATTCTGTTAAACTGCGAAAGACGATTTTTTCGGCCAAATTCCCGGTCGTGAATTGTGCCCACCAGTCGGAAGATAAAATTCGTTTTTAATCAAGAAAGGCCATCTGATCCTCAGTCTGTGCTTGACTCGCAATCGGTCAACCACTTACGGGGACTCGGATATGTACCTATCCACGATATTCGCGGATGAATTAACAATTACGTCGGAATTGCGATAATCCTCGGAATAAGCTCGAGGAGAACACGAGCTTACTGCCAAGCCCAGCTGCGATGTCATTACGAAAACTGGGAGTTATTACCATTGACAATGGCAGAATTCCCGAATATCGGGATGTACCCGAACAAGGAATACTTAATCGAGGGTCAACGTGGAAGATGCTTTTTCCCGCAAGAATATTTGGTATACAAATTTTTCGAGGAGGCGGGAAAAAGTAAGTAAAAATCCGAGGGGCACCGGAAAGCAAGACGCAAGCCGACACTTATCGCCGATGAATGATTAAGAACGAAATTCGGGAGGGACTCGGAGGGATTAAATCCCGTCGCCTTGTGGAAGGTGCATTCTGGAGTGCGGGGGCAACCGGAGGTAAAATTCCCTGGTGGGAATGAATCGCGTCCTTCCGGGTAGGGTTAAAGCTCCACCGGGTCCCGAAATTAACCCCATCCTTCCGGAGAGCTGCGCCGAAGATTACCGAGCTAAGTGCCCGGAATCGTTCTTTTCTTTTGCTATCCCTCACCCCTTCTCGAACAATAAATCCGTTTCGCATAATTGATAGCGTCTGCCCCAGCCGCGAGTTTGCTTTGGATTTACGAGTGGCCACCGAGGGTGGAATTATTTATTTAAAACGAGCCCGGCCTCGCAACTGCACTTTTTCATGGCGCCGCGTTTTATTCATTTCTCTCTCGCTTTTTTTTATTTTTATTCACCGTCAATGGAGCATTTCTCTTCTTCTACGCGTGGCTGGACGTTGATGGGCCGTGAAATTCAGGTGGAGAAATTACGCGTTACGCAGCACCGGGGTTGTAATTCTAATTACGATCATAAATTTGAGGGTGAAAATTTAGATCGAATATTTTCTCACGATTTTTCGGAAGGGTCGAATGTACTGGCGGACGGAATTAAAAAAAAGTATCAGACTGATTGGGTGCAGCTGCAAGACCGGGGATGTAAATTTAACTGGGTGGAGGGGACGGGGATGTAACGCAATGTTTGCAGTAATATTTTCCGATACATCGCCCCGGCTCGACGGGAACGCCGTCAAACGTCGGCCCCGAGATGAAACCCCTCGTCGCGCCTGGTGGAAATTACTTTCCACCCCCGTCAAACTCTATGTAAGGATTGAAAGCGTAAAAGGAAGTCGAGGTAACCCGTCTAGATCGAGCCGTGAAAAGATAATCGACAAGGAATCGGAATCGCGTCCGCCTTGATAAACGTTACAAGTCAATTTCGCGGCCTCTCGTAACGCCGTCTGGAAGAATTTCCATCGCGGGGTGAATATTTCTTCAGAAGACGACGAACAACCGATTCCACTCCACTCGGCGTCGTCTTCTGGAAGAAACACCGAAAGGAGAATCTGGAGAGAACGGGTCGTAACCGTCGAGGGTGGAAACTTTGAGAGGGTTTCTTTTTTCCTCGGGTAAAGCTCGACAGAAATTTCACAGGTACGAATTTTCGGAAAATGGTATATATATGCGCGATTAGTGGAAATTAAATTTTTCATTGATGGGGAATTTAAGAGAAATAAATTTTTTAACTTGAGGACGACGACCTGGGATCGGAGGGAGCGAAATCGACGGGGTGGCTAATTTCACGGAGGTGCAGCTCGCGGGGTCACCTGGCCAATTCGAGGAGGGAGAGGGATACTTTTTTTTTTTCTCCAGGAACTTCGCGAAAAAGTAACTAGAGAAGTTTCCGCGAGGGTGGCTCCTTTCCCTCGAGACTTTTGCGGAAGCTGCGCCATTTTCGCGAGACGTCGGCTAACTTTGGCTATCTCGCTTTTTTACCCTCACCCCCTCGCTCTTTGTTTCCCTCTTGTCAGGATTTGGATGAAATCGCGGGCTCGATTGGGAGGAATTTTTGGGCGACGAGACACTTTCAACAGACTTCTTGAGACTTTCGCTACCGCGGTCGCTTCAACGCGTTGGACTTGTCAGATAAACCGGGAAGACTAGAAATCAATCAGTAAAATCATGCACTATGGAATTGTCAGTTTCATGTAAAAAAAATTATTCAACGCGACGAATTTGGACATCGTTGCTGGGCCTAGCAGTGGTTGGTCCCCAGATGACCAACCGGATCCGAGGAATTCCCCTAGACTATTTGTGCAATTTACTACGCACTAGTTCGTGCCATTACCTATGCCGACAAGTGCGAGGTTAACGCCACTTGGTAACTCCGAGTCGTACGCGAAGTGTGCACTTGGCGCGGAACTCCGCATTAAATCCCGACCTAAATCTGAACTCGGCGGTTGGATATATACTTGAATCGCCGATACTCTCCTTTTCGATATTTCTCGACCTACCCGGCCGTTTCACCGACCAGCGGACATACAAGCATCGGACTTGGCGTGAAACTCAGCCGAGCAATTTTCCACGCCCACCTCTGAACCCAGAAAGACCTACCGGAGCTCCAAAGAGCCGACCTCGAAAACGAATCTTGAAAATAGAAACCCCCTCTATCCTACGCTCCTTCCTGCTTTCAACTTGCCTTCTCAAATCTTATATCGCTAACCGTTCCGCCTGGAAATCCTTATCATCTATACTTGAGAGAACACTCGAGCAGGTGCCCGAAGAAGATGTCTCATCCGTTTGACTTAAACCTTCCGTTGCAACCCTGGGCTCATCATTCCGGTCGATATCCCAGCTGCCCAGCAACTCCCAGAAGACGATCTCAAACGGGCGACCACAAAGAGGAGTCCCCACATCAAGGGCGTCCAACGATCGACCTCGATCGAGGGTCCCCGACCAAGATAGGTACCCCAAGAAGAGGAACGCTTTTTACAGGACCCCGTGAGGCCCTTCCAGGGTGGACCTTAGAGCTCGTAGACGTCTCGACCGTTGGGCCTGGCGATGGTGGGTCTGCTCGACGAAGGACTCGCGTACGAGTGGATGATGTGCACCCTGAGTCGAACATCCCCTGATGCTCGTCCTCCGTCTCCTCGCGGTCTCCTCGAGAAACTCACCGTGGTCTTGCAACAGCAGTAGTGAAAGAGCTTTATGTAGGCGTTGCGGAAGTGTCGGTCGACCACGCAGTACAGGAGGTTGTTGACACAGGATTTGGACAACGCGAACCAGGCCAGGTTGTAGAAGACCCTGGCGCTGATGGGTCGCAGGTGGCTGATGCAGAGGGCGACGCCGAAGGGGAGCCAGAAGACCACGAAGAGGACGAAGCTGTACATGTTGGTCTTGGTCAGTTCGTAGTCCCAGGAGAAGGCTACGGGCGGCTTGAAGGAACCCCTGGTCAACCTGCGCACCCGGATCACCAGCCGGAAGTAGAGGAAGATCGTCGCCAGCGTGGGCAGGCCCACCAACACCATCGCACCTGCCACCTGTTCGGCGGCGATTCCGTTGAAACGACGTCCACAAAAATCAGGACCCAATTCTAAGGACGATTGGAGGGCCACCGACATTGCTGCTATCAACCACGCGGCCAGGATCACCGTTGTCACCCGACTGGGTGTCAGCGCCGCGTATCTGGAAAGACAAGGGATATTAAATATATAAAAGTTGTATATACCTGGGTTAATGCGCTTTTTAGGGAAAAATATTTTCCACTAGTCCTGGGTGTGGCGGATCTGGTTGTGCCTGGCTTACGAGTGAATTTAAATACAGTCGGATGAGGCCATTGTAGAGGAAACGTTAGTCTCTGAATTTATAGCGAATCGTCAGAAGTCGTGTAAGACCTCTATCTCGGCGAGTTTAAATTTGGTCCGACCGAAATAAACCGATTCCCGGTTATTCTCGACCGACGGTAAAAGTCCGCACTCTCGGGTGCATCGAAGATTGGTACATCGGGTCGGTCAAATTGACCCGCTTGATTTACTGGCCTGGTAATTCAATGCGCTGGTAAATCATATCGCCGCGACAAATTGGACGACCGCTCGCGAAGCTCCGGCTCTTATTTTGCACGGAGCTTCGTTTCCTTCGAGGTGGAAAATCTGGCGGATAAGTCGAGGAGCCTGAAAAGTTGAATAATCTGCACCAGCTTGGAATACCTTAAAAAATGAGAAATATATCCGGCTGACTCGGCGGATCTGACGAATTTTCGAAACTTCGCAAACGAGATAACCTTAAAACACAGTCGCTCACCTCTCGGCGGGCAGACACAGCCGCGCATAATTTTCTGCAGCTATAGTCGCCAGGGTCAGGACTGTCACCAGGAAGCAGAGTGCCTCGAGGGTCCACTCGAAACGACACGTGCTGAGGGACTCCTTATGTCCAGCCAGAATCACGATGGCCGAAGCTGGAATCACCATTCCGGAAACCAGCAGATCAGCCAACGCCACGTTCACCAGAAATGCGTTTCCTAGGAATGAAAAAAGCCTCGTTAATTCATCTTTCACGGCCAATGTATTTTTTTTCCACGAAAAAAAAATATATATATCTCAGGGTCCTGGAAATCCATCCTCGTAAGAGAAGAGAGAGGGTCCCAGGTTCTCCAAAATGGCGGAGGTCTAGATCAGCTATCCGCACTAGGGCAGATTGGATGCCGTACCAATTAATGGAAAAGCGTTTTCCAGGAACGGAGAAAGTACCATTAAGTCATATCTTGCCATGACAGGGTTCCCTTTTAGGTTCCTGCCGGATTAGGAGTATAAAACTCGTTGAATTCTCCGGGATTTATATGTCTGGAGAAGAGAGTTTCCACCGGCCAAGATTAGGAAACTCGTAGAGGTCTTAAGGATTTATGTGTCTATAGAAGTCGGTTTCCAGGGAAGTTGTAACAGTGAAAGCCTGACCAACTGAAGCATCGATCGTAAAATTATTAACAAGAGTTGTTCTCGATCCAGGATTTTCAAGATGGAGGTTGCGATAAATTGGTCAGCTCGTTGGCGTTTTTTTTTTTTATATATAAAATGCGTACCATCCCGTTCGCAGTAGGAAGACGTCCAGAGAAATCAGAGAACCAAAGTGGACCATGCACTTTCCGAGAAAAATACTCCCCAAAAGCTCGCCATTTTTCCAAAATGGCCGGCATATGAGTCAGCAGCAAATCGGCGATGTTTACCCGAAAACGTGCACCGGAAAAGAAGAGAGAGAGAGAGAGAGAGAGAGAAAGTATCTCGTTGGGTCATCTTATCGGCGAAGGTTCTCTTTTTATTTCCGCGTCCTTTCAAGACGCCCGTGCAAAGAGCCCGAAGCATTTTATATCCGGGAGGAAAAGGACGCCATTTTCCTCGTCGAGCAGTTTATCGACGCCGCGACAGCGCGGAAAGCCCACGAGGGCGGAAAGAACATCACCGAGCAGACTTTTCCCCGAGTCTCAGACATGTTTCCAAGACCATCAACCGGTCACCGGCGAGTCGACAAATGTCTATCAAAGAACCATCCCAGGGGAAATGAGATTTCCCAGGAATTATCTCTTATTATTTCTTGAGAAGTGGAAACAAGCTTGCCCTTATTTTTATTTTCTATTTTTATTTTCTATTTTTACGCTTAATTTCTGCAAGTCGAACACAATCTAGATTTATCGCATTGCCTCGAATCGGCGCAAACTGAGTGCGACTTTTCTCGCCTCGCGCACGTGCGAGAGAGCCGTCGAGCGAAAAGTGTCGCGACTTTCCCCGGAAGTAAGTTTCTTTTTTACTTTTTTTTTCTCTCAAGGAGACGCTTCAGCGGCTCGGAATTGATTCGCGCTTCCTCGGGGATCCCTTCGCGGGAAATGGAGTCGGCTGCGACGACCGTGGCGCCGCGAGCCGGGAAAATGGAGAAGAAAGTTGCGAAGACACGCCGGAAGGGGCGAAGAGGAGGAAGCTTAAGACCGTCTTACGCGTCGGGGGACGTCCCGAACCACTCGGCGAAAACCACCCCCGACACCGTGTCGATCCCTCCTTTCTTGGGATTTCGTTGACGCGACTGTTTCCCTTCTTAACCGAGTTCCGGCCATTTAAAGAGCCCTTTGGACGAGGTCGAGCCGGAAGCGCGACGAACCGCGGGGACGAGGAAATTATGTTGACTCTGAACATGGCCTCTTGTTCTTCCTCCTCGGATCTCGTTATCGCCCATTGTTAACAAGATCGACCGAAGGAGTAATGTTTAGACGTTAAATGTTTAAACCTCGTTATCCACTTTGACATCCGACTGCGAGTCGGTGTCAGCCAGCGGAAAATTTGCGCTGCCGTAATATTGACTTAATGCCATTTAGAGTTATACGAGGGGAATTTTCTTTTTTTTTTTTTTATTCGCTTTGGATATGTCGAGGAGAAATTGCAGTTAAATCGCCACGGTTGAGTCGATTATGCTTCGTTGGGGCTTGTGCATTTTTTTTTCTCCGTACTATTTTCGTCGAGAAATATGGAGAGTTGACCAATGTGCCGACTGGCGGGATTTTGCCCATTGAGAGGGATTGTTTTTAAATTAAACAAGCGACACCGTGGCGTTTTGTTAATCAAAGTGTTTACGGGGGGACTCGTGGTATCGCAGCCGAATGATTTACATGCCTCTTGATTGGCCGAGGTTAGCTCGAATGGGATAAAATTGCGCTGGAATTTCGCACTCGGGAAGTTTTTATTGATCTCCGGCGCGAACATCGCGGTTGAATTTTCTCCGCAGAAAAAATGGCCGAGATGAATTATTTTTCGGCGCTGCGTCCTTGTAGATCAAGAAACCGTTTTATCCATCAGAGAACTAGATCCCCGTACATAACACCTATTTACACGAGGAAACCGAGATATACGTGGGACGAGGCAACGAAAAAAAATGGGGCGGAAAAGTAGAAAAGTTGGTCCATTCATTATAAACGCAGAACTACTTCTCGCATAAATTCACGGAAGGCGTCGAAAGTTTCGGGAAGCTTTCGCTAGTTTAGGGCACAAAATGGAAGCAGGAGCCGTGAGGACTATAATTACAGGGGAAGAAGTCGAGTTTCCGTCGCGTTTCTGTCAAGCCGAAGAATCCCTTGGCAACTGGGGTAGGAAAGAAATAAAAAAAATTCGGAGCCAAAGAGAGGGAAAAAAATGGCAGCAATCAGTTACATATGCGAGTTCGAGGCAACGAGGATAATTCCGATAATGGTCCAGGGATGCCTATTACCGGAATTATCCTCGTTATTCCAATCGATTCGGGGAATCGGGCATTCGTGTGGGAAAAGGAGCGCTGCCGATTGACGCCGTCAAGAAAGGAGAAACCGAACGCAACGTCGAGGCCCTTCGAGACGTTGAACCCTGCCCAGCCAGTTTATCGACATTGCAAATGCATTTGCGAGGTGTGTTGGTGCGTAACAGCTAAATGTCAGTGAGCAAGATAAGTGCAGGCTTCTTCTGCATGTTTCCGTCAGGACAATGCCGACTGCGCCGCGCGAACTGCGTACGCTAAGTACACACCGTGGAGAGCCCCACACGAAGAACTCGGCAACACGCCATGCGAAACGGCCGGTATTCTCGGTCTAAACTTGAGGATAGAAAAAATTGTTCCCAACAAAAGTTCCGCGATATGATCTGCGGAAGAACTTTTATCTGAGAGATTTTTTCCCTTCGCGATCCCTTGACCCTAGAAACTGGGTCTAAGTCAAGCGGAGGGACGTGCCGCAACGATGCTAGATATAGGGACAGAGACGATTAGAAATACCCACTTTTCCGGCTTGATAAGGCATGATACGACAAAACTCCTATTATGAATATCGTTCATTACGAAGTATGGAAGGTTTTTTATTTGAACGGTTTCCCTGTAACGTGCACTCTTGATGCGGAAAAATTATCTGCATAAGGACTCGATGCTGCAGGAAAATGGTGATTGGTTCCCTCGGGATGTAACGACTCGGCAAATGGAGCCATGGAAGCTTGCGATAACGCGAAAATGATAATGGAGGCTCTAGGGAGGAGGGAAGGTTGCCGAAGGTGGACTGCAGGATCACGGAGGACTCCGGAAGGTCCCCTTTATAAATCCAAGGGATTTAACGACAGGTCGAGGATCACCTCGTTTCTTCAAATGGTCCTCCACCATCACCGCCGAGATCATGAAGACGTTCCCGACGCTTCCGACGACCGCCAGGGATGCCAATAGGAGAAGACGTGCCACTCTGGACCAATCGGAAGATAAGGTCACTGGAGAAACGTCGAGGTCGTTCTCGAAGGTGACCATGGATTTATTCAAGGTCCCACCGGCATCCAGCCCCATATCCGGCGCCGCGACGCTCATCGTCGTGACGTTCATCCTGGAACAAAAAAGATACTCGTCAATATTTCCACACTCTCCTATCAAAGAATAATGGAAAAACCGCCGTACAGCATTTTTGAGGAATTTTGAAAATGGGCTTTTTTAATCCCTTACACCCTGATGTACCATGTAAAAGGGATGCTGGACTCTCCATCGAGGGCAACGCATAAATGAACTAGGAAGAATATTGTGGCTGGATTTACATGCAAATTTGTATGCAAAAGCTTCCATTATGTTCCCGGTGGAGGGATGTTTATTTTGAAGAATTGAAGGGGCACGGGAAAATGAAGAGGTTATTTTAAAAGCGCTCGTTTAGGTTAGCCGTGGGTGGGGCTCGAATCGATGTACGGGTATAATGTATTTTAATTCTGTATTTCTTGCAAATCGAATTGTGATGACGTTACGGTCGAGGTAATCATTTCGAGAGATAACCGGGGACGAATTTAAATAACGATGTCGAGAGGTCGGGTCGTGCTGTGACAGTTTGGATCCCAACTTCACATTCTTCCAGGCCGAACAATTACGGGTCGTCGGGCGAAGTTTGAGAACTAGATTGGAAGACTAATTGGAACGTCGCCGTCGGTTTCGCACAAGAGGAAGGAGGTCTCCGTGGTGAACAATTTGGGGCTGGTGAAAGAAAGCTCCCGAAGGAACGGTGAATTATTAAATCCCCAAAGTCCGATTTTATCGTCTAACGAGACTCAACCAACTCCCTGAGGTCTTCTCGGGGGGTCGTTTGTGCTCATTTAGTTCGAAAGGGGGATAATTAGCAAATTATCCTTCGGTTTGTGCCGATTAGCTAATTTTCCCTCCCGAGACTCCCCCAAGGAAAGATCCCCACGGAAGAATTCCCACGTACACGGTGTTTCGTTTAAGTCAACCCCCTTGATAACTCCATTAATTTTGACGACGTAAAAAAAAAATAATTCACTCGAGATAATCTGCGGTATAATTAATCGAAAGCCTAAATCAGGCATATTTCAGAGATTTCTGGATAATTTTCATCTCTTGAAGGTGGCGCTTGTGTGAATTAATGCCGGGCACGACATATGCAAATAAGGTCGTCGATCTGCTTTCGTTTAATTGACCCCTGACCTGTCTCGTCCAAGGAATTGACGGTGGGTTCGGTTAATCGTAGATTCTTAATGTCTCGCCAGTGTTGAAGGGAAAAGTATTCCCCCAAAGTACCCACTAGAATATTTAGGTAATTAATTGGCTTTGTTAAAGTCCTCCAAGGTACTTGGGGGATTTTCCTTCCCCAACAGAGGTCCTTAAAATCGATACTGACTGCGTCATTTGAGCTGCAGAATCCACAATTATCGGGCTCTCAGTGTCCAGAATATTCTCTCCGCGCGCAGCATAACCGACGCGATTATGGAAAGCGTCGGGCAGCCATAACCTCCAAATCACGAGCTTCCCCTGATTTCAGTCGGTGGAATTTCCGCGGGTTTTAATTCGATTAAAATCCCTCGGTGGCCACGGGACCGAGAGATAGGTAAATAGGTACAAAGCTTCCAATACTCGGTAGGAAGATTGCGGGAAATAACTCTCGATGTCGATGACATAGCGCCGTATCGCCATATTGTTGCTCCAACCGGAAGCTGGAAACGGATGCGACTCCTCGGCAAAGAAGAGTCTCGGGGATTCCCTTTTTTCGAAGGAGGAATCCCACCCCCGCCCGACCCCACATCAACCCGTCACTTGTTGCATAGTCGAAGGAATATGCCATAAAATCTCGATGAACCTCCGAGTTTCCTCACTTTGATGCATGCTCGAAGAAATATGCTATAAACTCCGAGTTCGGAGCCGATCGGAACTTCCTCCGCTTCTACTTTAAATAATGAATCCTCCTTAAAAATAGGAGCGGGACAAGGTTTTGTTCGATCGTTTAATTAACGTCAGTCGCTGATAACAGCGAACGCGGCTGGGATGGCAAATCAATTAATTGCGCAATGCATCGAACCGCCGACATAAGCGGCTTGCCGTCGACGACAATACGCCTGATATGGATTTACGCGGGTGTTACGCCGAATCCGTAAACAGCGATTGAAGCGTTACCACGAGGATATTGCCGGACGTTACCGAATATAGCTGGACAAGATTTGGTCCGGTCCATTGGCGCCGATGCTGCGCCGCCATTATCCCTCGCGCCGGTAAGGTGGGCATCTGCCCGAGGAGCCTTAATGGAATTCCAAATCGACCTCCCATCAACGGAGCTTATCAGTTACCCTGGATTTTTCAACGTCACTGCACAAACGTGCCCGCAACGAAATCCATTAAACAAATGATTTCCCTGATAATCGGGAGTAGAAAGAAAAAATAAATAAATAGGAAGCCGGGAACGAAATCCTCCGCGGAATTTCAAGATGCCCCGGGGTCGCGATTAATTAGTTCGATTGCACCGTAAAAATAGAGGGGAAAAAAATGAAGAAAGGGGGATACCGTTCTGCCGCAAATGGAAGACCGGGAAGACTCTTCCATTTTCTGCGGTCTCGGTTTTAATCCATTCCGTTTAATCCGGATTTTAATCCGCGCACGTCGAGGCCCGGTTCCTTCCATCGGGGAAGGAATTGCATGTGTACCGGTGCATTTCCATCTGCGTCTACAGGCGGTCAGGGCGCCTCGGAATGGCATAACAGACCGCAGAGATTTCAATCAATCGGACGTGGAGCGATTGTCATTAATCAAGCCGAATCGGACAAGTTGGCACGCGGTTGGTCGCGGCTCGATCGGGCGACTGGTTTCGTCTCTCTCGCACCCGCCCGGATCCCCCTCGCGTCGTCTCTCTCCCACTCACGGGGCGCGCTCACCGCGGATCGATCCGCTCTTTAGCGGAGTCAGCGCGCTGCAACGGATACTCCGCGTCTTCTACATATCCGCTACTCGAATAAATGACTTGGACGTCATTCGGAGCTCTAATGCCTACATTACGGCCATTAGTCACACGTAATAGCCCTCGGCTTCCATCCGTGTAAATTTCAGCCTGACATAAAACCGACTGCACTACTTACCCCGGCGGACGAGCAGTATTTTTACGGGGCGTTTTCCCCGCTTTTTCGTCTCCCCCGCGCCAATCGAATCGACTCTTAGAAGTGCCGTTCGTATGCAGATTCATTCGGGTGAAACCGAGTTAAGCGTGACTAAATGCTAAAAAATCGTAATTTTTATGATTTTCTAGGGGCAAATATTAGGGTTTTCTATGCCTTACTATTTCTTAAAAAATCCTTGCGTGGAATTTTTATGCTCGTGCAAATCTGGGTCGAAGGGACTCTTTACCGAGGTAAGATTGAAATGGGGGAACGATGTTTGGAAATTTTGATAATTAATCCCGAGATTAAATAACCAGAGGTTAACATGTCGGGCATCTCGCTCTGCGGATCGAGCGCTGTAAATGAAGTGCTCGGTTAATATACTCGCCCCAGGAGTATAGAGCCGATAATCAACGGCACTTTGTCCAATGCAAATTACCTGAGTACTGGTAAACACACTGTTAACCAGTACGGCTCTACTCGAGCAACATCAACCGCATGTTAACGTCTCAATGACGCTTTGATTTACGAGGAGCGGCGGCATCTTATGTAAAGTGATTCCATCACTAGGCATTCGGGGATCTCATTAACATAGGTACATCGGCTGTAGCGCATTTATTTGCAACGGATTTCCATGCAATTGGATTTAATTAATGGGCCGTAATTTATCGAAATAACGAGGCTTAACGAAGCGACCGAACTTAGCTCAACGTAACTTCATTCAATTTAAACGAGCTTTGCATTAACTTAAGCGAAGTTAAGTAAAGTGTCCCTCGTTGGGATATTTAGACGGCCCGATCGTTTTTTAAATGCTAATTTTAATTTTATTCGATTGCGGGTAGATAGAGGCCTTGTAAAAATCCAGGTCTCGAAAATCGGTAAGGGGCGTAGGAAGACATACTTCTCTGATAGCGTTATCTACGGGGGCGAGAGGTTATCCTCCCGGGGATTATCATTCCCACTTCCGGCGGAATTCCGATCGGAATAGGAGATCGATCGGGTCGGTAATTGCGTGTCTCGTGAAAGGCTTTAACGACCTCGCCGAAAGAGACACACAGAACGGCTTAAGGTTTGGCAAAGGCGGGGAAATTAACGAACTTCACAGTGAGATTACCGCCCGGTAATTTCCGCCATATTGGAAAAGACGACTGCGCGCGGAATTAATAATGCGCAGTTGCGAGGACCTAGCAGGGCGGACTTTTAATTCAAGGGGCCCTGACAAGAGGATTATTGACTCGTCATCCGTCTGGTGAAATTAGAATTAATGAGAAAAGGAATCGGGGAAGCTGTAAAGCGACGAGATCATAAAGCGAGTCTCTTACTCGAGAACGGCCGAGGCGGCAATGGCCGCTCGGCGATATTAAACGACAGCGGCATACAAAAAGGAAATTTCCACCTTCCTCGATACACTAACGATCGAGATATTAACGCAAACGCAATAAAGCATATTACGCGAAACTCCTAATTACACGCTCGACATTGGGAGACGCAATAACGGGGCGCTAATTATCCCCTTGGTGACGGCCATCCGTCCAATGTCCGCCATCTTGGAAAAGAGGATTCCGAAATTAATAAGCGAATTAGCCCTTGTTTCATTATTTTCCCCGGCTTACGGTTAACCTCTGCCCTTTCAAATAATTAATAAATTCCTAAATTACTAGGCAGACGACAACGCGCGCGCGCAATTGTCAGGTAATTATGTCCTCTCATGGTGATTGCAAATTACCAGACTCGTGGGAACTGACGCCATGGCGTCCACCTGACGTCTTAAGCCTAGGGCTGTTTAGATATAAACGTAGATACATCGGTGGATCCTATTCATGAGTATGACATGTTTATTAATTGAGCCGATGGCGGGATTTCATTACGTGTCGCGCCGTTACCGAAGTGCCAGTAAAAAGGAACGACGTCGCTTTCAAGCGACCCATTGTACACGAGGTAATGAATCCCGG